CCGTTGGATTTGAATGTTCACAAGGATTTCTCAACGGAATATGGTAGTTAAGACCCCTACGAACATAATTAGACTTGTTGCCAATTTTGTATCTCAACAGAAACACCACTTTTACCACTTTTTACCACCTTTGTACCACCTGTCTGGTTTGCCAAATATCTTTAGTTGTGAACGTCGTAAAAGGCTGCAAATTAACCTAGAATGTTTATCTTATCAAGGAGTAAAACTTTTGTGTGAAAAATTTTTACATTGGACAATCAGCTAATTGGATAATTACCAATTAGTTAATCACCAAAAAAAGTGAAAATTTTTTATTGGCTCAAAATGATTGAAATCGTTTGAAACACGGAGAAATGTAGTTTTTAGAAAAACTTCAAAAATTTTTCACTTAAAAATTTTTTTCGAGACTTGGAAAAAAGTTTGAAAATTTAAAAATATTTTTTTCCGCCAAAAGTGATCGAATTGCATGAAACGTGGATAAAAATGCTTTGCAGAAAAACTTCGAAGATTTTGAGATAGGGGAATACTAAAATCATCAATATTTGAAGTTGGAGTTCAGTAAATCTCGACATATTTTAGTAATTAGGAATAGCTTAGCGGAAAGGGCCGAACCTGAAAAAGGTTAACCACACAATATTAGAGTTTCATAACTAATTACAATACAGCTTTTATTCCACAAATTCCACATAAAGAAACAGCACAAAAGGACCATTTAAGATCGAACCGATTTTACCTGCTGTACTATCATTTTATTGATTTCAATGATCAAAACCTCTGTACCGTCCACTGGGAGACTTTGGGGCCGAAAACTGATCCGGCCCCCAAAGAGGAGTCAGATCACGTCACCAATTAGTGACGTATAATTAGTGATGTGATCCATCTGTAGAATTTAATTGGCCCAGAAATAGGCTAGATACTGGGTAGAGTTCACATGTCAATTCTGTACAACATAGCTGTTCATTAAGAAGTAAACATGATCTGACTGCTCGACTCGTAGATCACATAAGGGACGGGAACTCTTGCTAAAGGGGGTTCTCGTATCAAGGGATGTGAGACGTACGTGTCAAAGGCTTGCAAGGGGAGTGAGCCGATCTAGTGTTCTAGGTATAAATATTGGGTGATAGAAGGTAGTAGTATCGCATTTAATTCTATCAACAGTCATGCCTACCTTCTCCAAGTTCCTCAACGGTTTCAGAGGATGTAAACAGGTGCTTGATTCTGACGGATATATCTACAGCCGCAAGAAAAATGATGACACCGTCCTCTCCTCTGCTTGGCGTTGCCAGAAGAACAAATCCCTTAAATGTCCTGCCAAGTGCTATCTCGCTCTCACAGACAACAATCTTTCCCTTGGAAGTAAACCACACAACCACGATTCAGATCTGGCTACCCCACAGAGACTCGAACTCCTTACAACGCTCAAGAGGAAGGCTGCAGAACAACCCCTGTCGGCGACTCAGAACCTGATATCAGAAGTCCTTGCTGATGCTTCAACAGAAGTAAACCAGACGCTACCTAATATGGAATCCCTTGGAAAAGTCGTCCAACGAGCCAGAGCTTCTGCCTCCGGATCTGCCCAACATACCGAGTCGAAGACTTCTCTTGAATTCGTTCTTCCTCCCAGCTGCACATCTACGAGAAGAGACGAACCATTTATCCTCTTTGATGGGAAGACTGACCGAGATGTGAGAATCATAGCCTTCGCCACCAACAGGAACCTTCACACCCTCGCAGAATACAACAATTGGATTGCTGACGGGACAACCTATCAAGGAGCAACAGGTTGTTACAGATTACCATCTGGATCGGCTTGCTGTTGGAAAGACTCCTTCCAAAAAGAAGAGGATTTCCAGCAGTATTCTGTACGACCTTTGTTCCTTCTACACGACATACCCAACAAAGATTGAGTACTTGTTCGCTGTTGCGAAATACTTTGGTAATAATATTGAGTAATTTGTTGTATTCTGAAGTATTATATTATTAATCGATTTAACATTTTATAACCAGCCAATACATTGTCTCAATTTAAAACATGTTCACTTCTTAATTTGTAGCTTCTGTGTGCAGAGTTGTCATATGAACTTTACCCCAGATCTAGCCCATTTCTAGGTCAATTATATTCAATCCATGGATCACATCACTAATTATACGCCACAAGCTTCAAGCTTGCATGTTAATTACTTGATGACGTATATGGTGGATCATATCACTTCGGCCCCAAAGTCTGGCAGCCGTACCGTCAATCTTGCCAATCTATACCGGGTATACCTCTTATTTACCTCTATAATTAGACCCAGTTGTGCAAGAAATGCGATTTCTCACAGGGGTTTCTTTTAACTGTGCACTTTTTGTCACTCTCGCAACTCGCAAGAGGCCCGGTATTATAGGGGGGTATAGGAAGCAAGTGTAAATATACCTTCCATCATCCACTGTGCCCCCACTGTGGCTTTTTTGTATTGTGAATGCGCATGCCGCTTCGTTTGCTATGCCAGATACCTCGAATAACCCCCATATGTCATTGCCAGGGTCGGGATAGAGCTGGAGATAGCATTGAAAAGTTGCTAGAAATAGCTAGATTTAGAGTAAACTGGTGGTAGCTGGGTGGTGCTAGCATGGATGTAGCAGAACGTAGCTACACGGGGTTTCATTGGAGTTGGTTATTTTAATGGCTAAAGAGTGCCGGAACTAAAGTTACTTAAGATTGCAGTTGAGGGGCAGTGTAAACCACGGTGTAGTCAGGGACACAGAGCTACAGTGCAGGAGTACTGCAAGTGCAAAAGAACAGTGCAAGTGATACAGTATGCAACAGTAAAACGCCGAAGAAGGAGATAAGATTGTGGCTGCAGAGGAGGAGAGGAGCTGGAACCTGATTTTGTTTGGGTTGAAAGAAGAGTAGGAAGAAGAGTTTCCTGCTCTGGTAACTGCATTTTTGGAAGAGGTGGGGTGAGAACTTATTTTCAAGCGACAAGGGTGGGCTGGAAGCAACCAGGTACAGCTATCCGACCTATTAAGATCACCGTCCTGAGCTTAACAGCCTTTCATCAGAATCTGATGAAAACAGAGTGACTGACCCACCCTTTTTAGATTGATTGATCAAAGTGAGTCTCTTTAGCCCTCTTCTTCTTTAGAGCTTTAGGTTAGTGATCAAACTCTTCGCTACTCGCTCTTCACTGGATCTATCAGGACAGATTCACATCTTTTTAGGTCTCAACCAGCCTTAGTTTTCCTGTTTTCATCATGTAGTACGTTCTGCTACCTCCATTTTAGCACCACCCAGCTTCCATCAGTTCACTCTAAGTCTAGCTTCGTCGGCGTTTTACTGTTGCAGACTGTATCACTTGCACTGTTCTATTGCACTTGCAGTACTCCTGCACTGTAGCTCTGTGTCCCTGACTACACCGTGGTTTACACTGCCCCTCAACTGCAATCTTAAGTAACTTTAGTTCCGGCACTCTTTAGCCATTAAAATAACCAACTCCAATGAAACCCCGTGTAGCTACGTTCTGCTACATCCATGCTAGCACCACCCAGCTACCACCAGTTTACTCTAAATCTAGCTATTTCTAGCAACTTTTCAATGCTATCTCCAGCTCTATCCCGACCCTGGCAATGACATATGGGGGTTATTCGAGGTATCTGGCATAGCAAACGAAGCGGCATGCGCATTCACAATACAAAAAAGCCACAGTGGGGGCACAGTGGATGATGGAAGGTATATTTACACTTGCTTCCTATACCCCCCTATAATACCGGGCCTCTTGCGAGTTGCGAGAGTGACAAAAAGTGCACAGTTAAAAGAAACCCCTGTGAGAAATCGCATTTCTTGCACAACTGGGTCTAATTATAGAGGTAAATAAGAGGTCCGGTACATTCAGATACCCGGTATAGATTGGCAAGATTGACGGTACAGAGGTTTTGATCATTGAAATCAATAAAATGATAGTACAGCAGGTAAAATCGGTTCGATCTTAAATGGTCCTTTTGTGCTGTTTCTTTATGTGGAATTTGTGGAATAAAAGCTGTATTGTAATTAGTTATGAAACTCTAATATTGTGTGGTTAACCTTTTTCAGGTTCGGCCCTTTCCGCTAAGCTATTCCTAATTACTAAAATATGTCGAGATTTACTGAACTCCAACTTCAAATATTGATGATTTTAGTATTCCCCTATCTCAAAATCTTCGAAGTTTTTCTGCAAAGCATTTTTATCCACGTTTCATGCAATTCGATCACTTTTGGCGGAAAAAAATATTTTTAAATTTTCAAACTTTTTTCCAAGTCTCGAAAAAAATTTTTAAGTGAAAAATTTTTGAAGTTTTTCTAAAAACTACATTTCTCCGCGTTTCAAACGATTTCAATCATTTTGAGCCAATAAAAAATTTTCACTTTTTTTGGTGATTAACTAATTGGTAATTATCCAATTAGCTGATTGTCCAATGTAAAAATTTTTCACACAAAAGTTTTACTCCTTGATAAGATAAACATTCTAGGTTAATTTGCAGCCTTTTACGACGTTCACAACTAAAGATATTTGGCAAACCAGACAGGTGGTACAAAGGTGGTAAAAAGTGGTAAAAGTGGTGTTTCTGTTGAGATACAAAATTGGCAACAAGTCTAATTATGTTCGTAGGGGTCTTAACTACCATATTCCGTTGAGAAATCCTTGTGAACATTCAAATCCAACGGAACCCTTAAATCGACCACTTTTCCCCTTACTAGTTACATTCGCATTTCTACAAAACTCACAGATATACTGTCGTGCGCGCAGCAAAAACTTGAGGTTAATTGTTTTAGCGGCTTACAAATAACATGATATTGTTTAGTGACCGGCCGAAACGTGCCGAAAAAGTGAACGAACTGAGTCTTCCGGAGCAGTCACGGAGGTTAAGAAACACTATCTTTACCGGTACGCTTCCCCGATTCGGAATTATTTTGAATTTTACTTTTCCCGACGTTTACTCATCTAGTCACATCACTTTACTTTATTTTACATCAAAACGATCTATTTAAATCGTGTACTCACAGTAGCGATATCAGTAAGGTCACAGTACACGTGTGGGGCAGTAGCAGACATGGATTTCAACTGTTCTATCGTATCAGTCAGAGTTGCACTGAACAGGAGGGTTTGTCTCTTTTTGGGGAGAGAGCCGAATATGGTGCCCAGATCTGATTCAAAACATGGTTCCAGTAACCGATCAGCTTCGTCGAGAACCTGTTTTGATTAAATAATTTCGTTTTAATTAATTAATTTCGTCAGATAAAATAAACGCTTAAAAAATATATTCTGGATAAAATCAGATTAATTCTGGGAAAATGTATACAGTAAGACAAATTTGTTCACGACACAAAAACTGAAGAGAAAAGCGGTAAGAAAAAACTAATTCTCTAGAAAACTGACCAAAAACTTGACTTTGCCCAACTTGAGACCATCTCCCGAGTTGATGTGATCCGCAAGTCTGCCTGGTGTTGCTATGACGATGTGAGGTGATCTGGACAGTTCCATACTCTGTGTTAACATGTCCATTCCTGTAGAAGAAGATACAATAGTATATAGACACGTATAGTAGACATTATACGTATTTCCGGAATGAACATTTTTATTTCCTTTTCATTTCACATTTTCAGATTTGAGCGCCCCAAATTTCACTGCTTTGACTGAATTTTTCTTGAGTGATCATCTAGCATCAAGCATGGTCACTGAGGATGACACAAGACACGATTGAGGTACTGAAAGTTCTATTCCCAAAAAAAGCTTTTATTTGATAAACGGAAAATCTTGATAATGATATCAACAGTAGTATCAAAAGTCAGCTCGTCGATAATTTCCTCTACTCTGATATTCTTATATTTTAAAAAAACTTTAAAAAACAAACCTCCGATGACAGTGGAAACACGTATGTTGATGTGTGCTCCAATCGCCACAAACTGGTCCTTTATCTGAAACGCTAACTCCCTGAAATACACGTGATAAGAAGCAGTCTTTTTACAGAAACTTTCAGTCTGCAGCAGTGGCGTATCGGGGGGGGGGGGGGGGGGGGGGTTAAAGCCACATTCCACCACATTCCACCACACTCGTAACTATGGTTACCATGCGAATTACCTTGTAGGAGTAAGAACTAGAGCAAATATCCCAAATGGATCATCACTCAATATATCAAGAATGGGAAGGGCAAACGCAGCTGTTTTCCCTGATCCTGTCTTAGCACAGCCAATACAGTCTTTACCTGGTGAGCATGAGGTAAACTAAGGGAAATAAATTTAAAAGTTGGAATTTTGAAGAAGAGCTGTCGAGAAAAATCGATGCAGCTAATACTCTTCGTCATAACTATTGTAGCTTTAGTGCTACAAATATGTCTTAAATTAAACTATAACCGATTAAGTTTATTAAAAAATGTAAAGGAAAAAAAAAGAAGAAAACAGAATTGAAACAAACCAGCTAAGATAGCAGGAACACAGTTAATTTGAACAGGAGTGGGTTGCTTCATTCCCAGACCTTTGCACTGTTGAACCAACCATTTCTTTATACCTAGACTCTCGAACTTTACTCTGGTTTCAGACATGACAACCCCACTACCTCACCACACTGCACATTCTATGTGATATAATAAATGTTAATTAGTATTATTATATTTATTCATGTATGTATTTATTGTATATTTCTAAATTTATTATTACTAAACATTTTTAGTGCCGAGTACTGCCTCCGGGTGGATCTCCTCAATCAATCATATAATTAAAATTTCGCTTGTAAGTTTAATTCATTCTTAGCAGTGTGATGAAAAAAATAGTTACTATGAAGAAGTTTGCTATTCATTTTGTTTCGCCATCATATTTAGAAGCATCAGAAAATATTGGATAAAAAGGCAAACGAATTTTTCCAGATGATCAACTCATAAGTTGTACAGATAAGCTTTCAGATATGAGGAAGCATTTAGAACTAACTCTATTTATAAATGATTTGGGTTGTATACTAATCAGTCGCAAATATAGATCAATAATTTTCTGGCCTTAATATCAGTAAAATATAAAACATAGATTAAGAGAATTTGAAATACAGCATAGTTTTTCACAATACAATTTTCATATGTTTTGTTAGTCATAATGTAACTTGTAAGCTAATCTTAGAGGAATGGAAGTTATGTACGTATACGTTAAAAGCGATGTCACAAAACTTAAAGCCTTAATTTTAAAGAAAAGTAAATCAAGTGGCCAAAGAACAAATAGCGATATTGTATTCTAAATATAGCAATTCTGAATTGTATCCAAGGAGAGCAGTAGTTAACAAATAGCAGCAGCAGCAGCAAGGAGTCATGTCTACATCTTGCTTTCAATTCCTTTCTCTTACGTAAGCATTTCAATTTTTCAGTTAATCTATAAGCCACAACCAAGTCTCTCATAATATCATGTAACACTACAACGTAAATGTAATGACAACACTGTTCATTAATACTTGTACTTGGTAGAGTAATCTTTAGGACTGATTACCAGACCACGCCCTTTTCTGGCACCTCTGTAAACCGTCTCGATGATATCAATCATTTCCTGCTTGTTGTCAATAGGCCAGTTTATCTTGTTGTTGTTTCCTGCAGGGTGGAAATGGTTCAGACGATATAATAATCAGATATTTTTAAAGTTTTAAAGTTTTTCCAATCTTGATTCACTCACTATAAGAGTGCAATTGTTTATTTCTCCTCTCAAATAGCTGACTAACCTGTCCCCAAATCAATCATAATGTGCTTGTTTCTGTAGAAAAACATAACAGTGCAGGGATCATACAGCTCGTACATTTTGTTGAAATCAGGAACCTGAAAATACCAGCTATTGATCTAAATACTAATTATCTCAACTGTTGTATTGGTTTCATTGGTACATGATCAAAAATTATAACCACTTCAATATTCACAGATTTAAAAGTTAGATTTGCTAAGAATTTATTACAGAAATTATGAGACATCCCACCTCAGTGATATCTACCAAGTAGATTTGTGCAAAATTTCTGATCTTGTCTGCAATACCGTACAGTGTTTCGTCCATCTTCATGCATGTTGGATCCCAATCGTGACCGTATCTGGAAGTATGCCAAATAATCCATTTATATAGATATATCATCAACGGAAGCTGTTACCATTAAAAAATAAAACAATTGCAATTAAATCTGTTACTGCTTTTATGAGAAAAGACAATTTTTTTGAGAAAAGACAAGAACTTTAATAAACTTATTGGGGTACTAAATAGCATTAATTTTTCATCTTAGTAATGAGACAAGCACAAGTAATGGTGGGGTTACTCCAACTATACTAACCTAAAAACAATGACTCTGTCTTCCTCTGACAGGATTGCTTGGTCAACTTGCCAGCCGTTGTGTAAATGTGGAAGCATGTACGACATGATGAAATCTAAAGCTGCAATTTAGAAATTATATTTAAAACTGTCTACAACATATGATGATGTACCCGGACAATATCGGGCAAAAACCACTATCCACAGCTAGTAGAGACACAAATTTTTTTTAGAGACACAAATTTGAATTTTGATCTTTATTACAGATTAAACATATCATATATAACCATAAAAGCCGCGCGTCGGCTGATTGCCTCAACTTGGATTGGTAGTAATTTCAGTTTACAGAAGCTGAAGGACGGCAGCTCAAAAGCCCCAGTGAACCATCGGAAAGATCAAGGACTCGAGTGCCAATAGTGGCTTTTTCGAACCCATTTTCGCCGATTTGCTGTGGCCCAGATGAGCCGCGCCCTGCTGCTTAACGGCACATGATGGTTTTTGTTTAAATACTTATTTAAATTTAAGCGATAATTCATTTGGTGGTTTACTGAGAGCTTGCCTTGTCTAATATTCACAAGTCAGAAAAAAATTCGCAGTTAGAAAAATACACCTTAGAAGACAACCTGATTTTAGAGGACAGGTGCTAGATGTCCCATATACACATCATAATGATTTTAATGATTTATTGAGAAAAGACAATTTTTTTGTTGAGAAAAGACAATTTTATTATTTATCACCAATTCAATACATAATCAATAAATATATATCCGAATAAATTTGATTTAAAATTCAATGATACAAGTATGCTAGCAGGCAGCAGCTAGCGCGCTTGTATTTCATCAATATACACGCTGTTAAAATGGGTCTTACCACACCGCCACTCACATTAGCACAGTTGGTGAACGGACCCAGGCGCTGTTAAGCTTTTATGAGCCCTGGTTGACTGCTGAGAGTGGCGACGGGTCTGACATTAATTTTATCTTAGTTTTCCCTATATTCCAGTAAAATTTTAGTTTAGTTTATTGAAGGGGGTTCAGTAAAATTTTAGTTTAGTTTATTGAAGGGGGTTCTTTACTTGAAGGCTCGGGATCTTTTGAATAGCCACACAAGTTTACATTGGAACAAGTTACAAGGCGACAACTATACACAATTATAGGAAAACAAATTTAGGAAAACAAATTTAAATTTTGGTATTTATTAATAACAATCAAAACATATCATATCATAAAAATAAAGCCGCGCGTTGGTTGACTGCCTCAGTAAGGTCAATAATTTAAGCTTGAAGGTGCCCTGCGCATTTACAGAACCTTATGCGGCGATCACATATTCATGAGGACCTGTGAGCGCCAAATTTAATTTAAAGTTTCTAGAAATCATACATCACTACGAGTTACTCATGCTTTTGGATTATAAGAGTGCGGATTGTCAGGTATTTCATTCATTCGGTTTAAAGCTCTATATTCAGAACTCACTATTGTTTAAACTACGAAAGCAGAACGTAGATAATGGACAATATACCGACGACAATACCAAGGACTCGAGTGCCGCATTGACTTTTCCGGATCCGTTTTTACCGAAGGCTTATCCACCAGTTACTCATGCTGCATCTATAGTCTGATAATATTTTGTCTTATCTCTAGCAAGCATTCTGTAAATTGAAGTGTTGTATTTATTATAGGAGAGCCAGCCAACCTCCGCATTATAATCTTTTGTGTGCCAAGTTCGTTTATAAAATCTAATCATATAATAAAATTGATCCAATAATCTAAGATGAACGGTATATATTCATGATATATCATAGCTCATCGTTATTAAAATCCGAATGGATGAATTAATCAAGTAATGTTCCCTTTCAACACAACTAAACAACAAACAAATGCTTGCTCACCAGTGGTGACGCAATCGTAGGGGCATGCAGTTGGTTCAGATAACTCTCACCCCGACGACGGCGTCGAGAAATTATCAAATTATGCATTTGCGCCATACTGGACACATTTTATATTTAATATTTTGTGGTTTGTAGAAATTAGTGTTATCTACACTTATAGCTTAACTGGCGAGCAAACATCATCCCACTTGGCCGGGACGAAAATACCGAGTCCAATCACAGAAAGTTAACCAAAAGATAAAAATAAGAGCTTGGATATCAACAAAAATCACACACTCCAGACGACAGGGGAAGAGAGGAAGGGAAGTTATGGGTTAACGAATTATATTTAAACTGCAAGCAGCCCCCATCTCCTCTGCTGCTTTAGTTTGGTGACAGGATTCAAACAGTGCAACTCAAGTCATACATTATTTCCATGCAGAACTTTTAAACCTCGGTTGGACCCGCCATCTATGCGAAGTTACACATTTCTGTAAAGTTTTCTTGATAGTCATATGCATGATCAGGAAACCATGATCGAAGAAATCAGAAACATGAATTTCTAAGACAGCTGAGATACGATAGTTTGCATAACATAACATAACATTATAAATAGTGCCTCTCTGGGCATCTCAAAAAAGAAATTCACAGAAAATGAACAATTTACGTTTGAAACCATATAATTACAAACTTTTTAAAAAAATCCAACTTAATACCTTTGATATTAACCTTCTTCCCCTTAGCTACCATTGGATTCTCTTTCATATAACTTACATAACTATTCCTATTAGACACAGACACATCTATCCTATCAAAGATGTCATATGACAGTTCCCAGTAGTGGCCAAGCTTATTATAAAACAAATTAAGAAGCTTAGCCCTAGCACTAGAGCTGTATTTGTTTGTCAGCTGCTTCCCACTAGGGACTTACAGCTGAATTTTAAAGTTGATTCATTTAATAGACTTATTCATTTTGACCTGCTCCCTACATGTAAGGATGTTGTGCGTGTTCAGGGTTTTATGAAGTTCGCCTGCAACCGTGTTCTTGCGGACGAACTTTCAAAACAATTTGACAGAAATGGTCGACCTGATACACTTCATCTTAACAAGTCAGGGGCAAGAGTCCTTGCTGGACTCATTAAACAATCTGTATTTACTAGGTTAAATGGCGGAGCAGACAGAAGACATCACATCGGCAAAGTTAATGGACGGCTATACAGCAACGTGGCTAGTGACCCGCCTGCACCGCAGCGGATGGGGAGGAACGGTTAACAGGTATGGTTAATCGTGTTCAAAAGGAAATTTGTTATCACTGTCTGAAGAATATTGGTCTAGGGCTTCCCCACTTCGAATGCTTTAACTGCAACAGTATTTTCCATGCCAAATGTTTTAATCCCTCCAAAGCACAAGTTATTAATGACAACTTTTACTGCATCAAATGTAAACATTCTATATCTAAAAAATATAATCCTTTTAAAGTAATGACCGATCCTGAAGTTAATGACTGTGACCCATGTCTCCAAAAGATGTCTGATGTTTTGGAAAACTGTAGATCCTATACAATTAAGGACTTTAACACACATATCAAACCGTGTTTTGCAAGCAACTGCTCCATGATTTTCCAGAATATAGATGGCAATAAAACAAATTTTGATGCCTTTAGCATGGAACTAGACCTAATAGCCGAAAAATTTAAAATTATTGGACTTGCTGAAACCAATATTGGAATAGAGGAAAGCACTGTTTACCATCTAGAGGGATACAATTGTTTCTACCAAGATAAACATATCAATAAAGCGAAGGGAAGTGGAGTAGCATTGTACTTAAAGAACGAACTTAATGGAGTTGTAAACGAAGAATTATCATGGGTAACCAAAAATCTTGAAACCCTATTTATTACCATTCAACATGATGAACCTCTACATGTAGGAGTTCTGTACCGTCCTCCTAGTGGGAACGCCTCAGAGGCACTAAATGAACTTAGAAAAATGATTGAATCATGCTCAAAAAAGAATGTTTACATACTAGGAGACTTCAACATTAATCTCCATGATGAAAACAGTAAACTCGTTCAAGACTTTGAAAACCTTATTCTAGGCCTAGGTTTATCACCACTTATTTCTACGTCTACGCATCATAAACCAGGATGTAACCAATCATGCAGTAAAATTCTAGAAAAGTTAATTTATAAGAGGCTCTATAGTTTCCTTACTTCCAAGGGGATAATACATGAAAACCAGTTCGGCTTTAGGAAAGGACACTCCACCAGCCATGCACTGAATTACTCTGTAGAACATATAGAATCGTTGATTAGTAAAAAGCAACATGTCCTAGGGTTCTTCATCGATCTCTCAAAAGCCTTTGACACTCTAGATCACTGTAAACTAACTACTAAATTAAAAAACTACGGTATAAGAGGGAATGCTCTGAATCTTATCTCTAGTTACTTGTCTAATAGGAAACAATTTGTAAATGTTCTAGATACCAAATCTGATGAATTACCGGTCGAATTTGGAGTCCCTCAGGGTAGTGTATTAGGACCTCTACTTTTCCTACTGTATATCAATGATATTTGCAATATAACTAATAAGGGTAAATTTGTCTTATTTGCAGACGATACTAATATATTTGTCGCTGCCGATTCGAAAAATAAAGCATACGAATTGGCTAATGAAGTACTACAGGCCGTAAACAAGTATATGGGAGTTAACCTACTGCACATTAATGTAAAGAAGTGTTGTTATATGTACTTTTCTCCCTCTAAACGTGATAAAAGCGAATTAAATGCAGATATAGATAGCCAAAACTTGTCCATAAATAACAAAATAATTAAACGTGTAAGTCAGACAAAATTTCTTGGAGTAATCATTGATGATAAACTGAGCTGGAAACCACACATATTATCTCTCAATAAGAAACTAAGTAGTGCTTGTGGACGTATCTACCGTATTAAGAAATGCTTGCCAGAATCACTATATAAGCAAATATATCATTCTCTCTTTGAATCACACCTAGGTTATGCTATTTCTGTCTGGGGAGGTATTCCCAATAATCAGTTGAAACCGCTATTTATTACTCAAAAGAAGTGTATCAGGATTCTCTTTGGAGACTTTGAAGCCTATGTAGACAAGTTCGAGACATGTGCTAGAGCAAGACCAATTAATTCTCAACGTCTAGGATCTGAATTCTATGTTAAAGAGTCCACCAAACCTCTGTTCACAAAACACGAACTACTTGCTATAGAGAACCTATACAGATACCGTTGTTTAATGGAATTGTTTAAGATCATTAAGTCACGAGTACCAATTTCGTTATACTACCTATTCGGCTTATCAAATAGGAAAGATAATTTGTTAATCACGCCCTCTCCAACTAATCAATTTATGTACAAATCTGCATGGCTGTGGAACGAATTTCGTAAAGTTGGGCCGATGAATTTCACCTCCCCTTGCAGCTCTGTCAAGAATTTGCTTAAACAGTCACTTCTAAGAGCTCAAAACAGGTATGGAACTGATTGGTGTGACAAAAATTTCACTGAATTCTGAGTGAGAAGTGATACTTGCCTGTTATTCCCACTTACTGACTGATAATCTTATCTATGGATACCATGCTTGAAATTAGGTAAACAACATAGCACTTCCTAACCAGTCACGTTGAACGCGATCGCCGAATGATAAAACAATATGGGAGCGCGCACAGCATTGCGCGCTGATACTCTAAATACTGTGCTGTGCGCGTTTCGTCCGGAACCTGGGGAGTTCCCGCTCTAATATATCTGACGACAGTGATCACTCATTATGAGAACTAACCCCGACCACTTTCCCGGTCGAACCGTACCCAAATCAAACTAATTTATGAACCACGTGTATAGCCAACGTCCTTGCGGTGCTGAGCCGATGTAAAACTCTTCTGTCTCTTGTTAATATTTTAGTTGTACTGTGCATAAAAGTGTGTAGTGACAAGTGTGTAGTGGTAATGTATTATTTATTATGACGACGCGATATTTATAATGCAGAATTAAAAGCTGCTTTCGATATGACTGGTGGTGGGCTGTCTCCGGCGGGACATAGATCTATATAGGGGGTACCCGGGATACGAGTTAACGAACAGTGTTCGTGTCCTTCCACAACCCCCTGTTACCTGTGTTTCTGTCGGGGTAGCCTAATTCATCCGTTAGAATCGCAGAGTTAGCGGAGCTCATGATATCTCGCGACGTATGCTGCATGAACGGTGCAAGACTTGCGCCGTTTGTTTCAGCATCCAGTTGCGAGTGCTTGCCCATCGAAAACATGATTAGTGATTGTGGATTTTATTGATATTACTGATTATCCATCATATTCAGTATTAATGTATCCATTATTTATTTATTGACATCCTTCAGTCTCCAAAACGAGGTGTGAAGGTAAATTAACTTTGAGCCTTGTTTTGGCGACTGCTTAATCGATGGGCAAGTAGGTATTTGTTTTTTAGCAGTGTTGAACATTGAAACAATTATAAAATGTTTATTTTTATCTTATATAACCAATAACGTACAATATGAATGACATATGCTATAGTGACGTAACATATATAGTGCAAAGAATTAGTAACTTGCGAGATGTGATTTAGTGATAATCGACATTAACATTTTGCAGTTTACAGTTGCACAATGTTGGCGTCGATTGTTACTAACATTTATCTGAATTTAATACAAGTACATGTCACATATAAATTGGGTAGCTGAATGAAACTCGTGCCTCAAAATTTTCCGTTATTAGCATTGCAGTGTCCACGCCCTATACTGCGTTAACGACCGAAATTTTCCCAATATGCAATTATTATTTTGCTTCTAAAATTCTCTGATAATTAATAATATATCGTGACATGTAATTGTAAGATAACAAACCTCGCGCGCGGCGCTTACATCTGCACCTGAGAATCTCTCAGCAATGTGTGGCTGTCTGCGCGGCGGGCTGTGTATTGTGTATATAGCTGAATTTAAATTTAGATTTATTTGTAAATGTATAATAATATTAAATATGTATTGATTGTTTTTGGCCCCAAAGGTTTTGCTCTATTACGGGTAAACCTAGGATGCTGCAGATTCAACTCTGTACATTCAGACCGTCTGTGCGTGGTGAAGAGCCACATCCTGCTCGAGGTGGGGCTGCATGCAACTTCAGTGATGGAGTTGTAACTGAACACAGCGGATCTAGGGGTGCACCCCCGAAAAACAAGCCGGGCATCCTCAGAACAAGCCCGTGATGATGGTGATGTGGGTTAATCTAGATGTAACAGATTCCGGAACTATGGGAGCACCATCTGTCATCTTACCGTTTTATTTACTGTATGTGGGAACATCTACTGATGAAGTAGCTATCAAGAGAGCCATTCCAGTGGCGCAGGTGGCTCACGTGTCACATAGCCAACAGAAAAGAAACATGATGAATAGTTCTTACAGCACTAGGGTATCAGCCCCTACTTTTGTTTCTGGACGAGAAGGTGGTAATGATTTCACCAACTTAAATCCGAATGGAAGGTTGGTGAATGATGAGCCTAATCAACCTGAAACACCCAACAGCATAAACGAAAACAAAAAAAAAAGTTTATTTTCATGTAACGACATTACCTGGGTAGGCACTCTTAACACTAGAACGATAAGAACTACCCAGAGGAAACTGGAGATGGTACATCTTTTCGAGAAGAGTGGCGCAGAGATTGTAGGTATCCAAGAGCACAGGATAGTTCATGAAGAGCCTGTCAGAGTAGAGAGAGTTGGCAAGAGCAGCTATCTAATTACTTCATTAGCTACTAGGAATAGGGCCCAGGCATCAGTGGGCGGAGTGGGATTCATCCTAACAAGCAAGGCATTTGATGCAACTACGGAGATAACACCAGTGACGGAGAGAATCCTTAAGATATCTCTCAATGGGAATCCTAAACCAACCTTCGTCTGTGTCTATGGACCTACGGAGGCAGATAGTGTAGAAGCAGCAGAAAAGTTTCATAACGATCTAAGGTGTGCAGTCTCGCAGATCCCTGCTCACAACTTCTTGGAGGTGATTGGGGATTTTAACGCTCACCTATCAAAGAGGGACGAGAATGACTGTGGTTGGTATTTCCATGAGAGAACCAACAGAAATGGGGAGCTGCTTCGGGATACTGCCCTGGAATGTAATCTGGAGATTACAAACACCAGGTTCAGAAAGAAGCGGGGTAAGATGTGGACTCACCTATCGGATGGAACCCTGAATAAGTCTCAGATAGACTTTATTCTAGTGAGGAAGAAGTGGAGGAACAGTATCAAAGACACTGAAGTCTACAGTTTCTTTATACAGCCACACTAATGATAGCTGGCAACACTAATGATAGCTGGCAATGCTACATCTGCATCGCCAGCTTACCACAACGGTACTGCCCATTTGCTTCTGCACTTATACGTGACAAACATGACCCAGTCCACCTTGATGAAATTGAAGATGTTTCTGAAATCAATGAAATCCATAAAAGCTGTAAAAATTATGATCATAAAAGCTTTAAGAACCTCATAAAGCTGTATCATAGAAATGGGCAGAACCTTACTGGTATTTTTAACAATATTGATGGAAATGCTGCAAATTTTGATACATTTGTCACAGAAATCTCACAGTACAGTCATCCACTCTCGTTTATTGGCTTGGCTGAGACAAATATTGATGCAAACCTCAAAGACCTGTATAGGATACCCGGTTATCTCTCTGAATACACCAATAAATTACGTGACAAATCTAAAGGTAGTGGAGTGGGAATTTACATCAATGAGTCACTTACTTACACCCGTATTGATAAACTATGTATGTGTACCCCTAACCTTGAATCAGTGTTTGTCTCCATAACAAATGTTGGCAGGCCCCAAACAGTTGGCGTCCTATACAGACCACCTGGTGGATCTGACAAAGATGCCCTACACGAATTTGAGAGCCTTCTTAATCAGGTTCCTGATAGGAACGTTATCCTGCTTGGAGATTTCAACTTTAATCTATTTAATAAAGGCTCTGCCAGCTTTGAAAACATTTTATATGGAAATAACTTCATCCCACTTATATCACTGGCAACGCACCATAAACCAGGCTGTGTCCCATCGCTTATTGACAATATTCTGACAAACTCCACTGACAATATTGTGTCAGCTGGACTACTGGATACCAGGGTTTCGCATCACTCTCCAATTTTCTGTATTCTCGAATGTAGCATGCCTGAAGAACCAGAACTTGACCCTTGTAAACCAAAATATGACTACTGTGAATCTAATATGAACAAGTTCTTAGAAGATATTCAAACAAATTTTTGTGGGCAGGTGTGCTACAACGTAGAAAACTTTGAAATTTTTGCAAATAAGATAAAACTTTTGATCGAAGAAAACTTTTTAATTGAATCTGAATCGTTCAAAAAGTCAAAAAGGAATATGATTGCAAACCCTTGGATCACACCAGGGATCATTGCATCAGTGAAAAAGAAAGAATATCTTTACAAGCAGTGGAAGAGTACAATTAAGGAACCCAACCCTCTTGGAGACTCTGATCTATACTTAACCTATAGTAAATTCCGTCGACAGTTAAAATACATTATCAGATCTGCCAAGAAATTGTACTATTGCAGAAAATTCTCAAAAGTCTCAGGTAATATGAAGCAAACATGGGCACTGATCAATGAACTGAGAGGAAAAACAAAAACTGGAATTAAGGCCTCGTTCAAAATAGATGGTAGTTTAGTAAAAGACAAACGTGTCATATCGAATGGCTTTAACATGTTCTTCTCTTCCATTGCAGGTAAACTTAATGCGAAACTCTGCTCCTCCAAACCAATAGGTCGTGACACAGCTTGCCAGAGACCCCTTGATTATAAGAACTATTTTAACAAAAGAGTCACCAACAGTATGTTCTTAAACCCCTGTGATTCTGAGGAAATCGAAAAAATTGTTAAAACCTTCCAGGGTGACAAGGCTAGTGACATATCAATAGCTGTTCTTAAGAAATGTTGCACAACAATCTCTAGGCACCTAGCTGGTTTCCTAAATTCATTCATGAAGCTGGGTCTATTTCCAAATATTCTCAAAATAGGTAAGGTTACCCCAGTATTTAAAAAAGGAGACCCACAGCTGTTTGACAACTACAGGCCTATATCCATTCTACCTATCTTTGGTAAGATATTTGAAAAAGTAATTTACTGCCGACTATATAGCTTCTTTACTTCACATATGGTCATATACGATAAACAGTTTGGATTCAGATCCAACCACTCAACGGCACATGCCATCAATTACTCCATTGACCACATTCTTAAAAACCTAGAAAGTAAGAATCATGTAATTGGCATATTTATTGACTTAAGCAAAGCGTTTGACACAATCGACCACAGAAAATTACTTGTCAAACTTGAACACTATGGCATAAGAGGGCCCTGTCTTGGCCTAATTGAAAGCTATTTGTGTAACCGACAGCAGTATGTTGATTTCCAAAATACACACTCTGATCACTGCAAAATTGAATATGGGGTACCACAGGGATCAGTTCTAGGCCCTCTCCTCTTCTTACTCTACATTAATGACATTACTAACTCTAGCCAACTTGGACACTTCATACTGTTTGCAGATGACACAAACATATTTGTTGCTGGAAAAACTGAAAAAGAAGCCTATTTGAATGCTAATAAAGTACTTGAATCTGTAAATAACTATATGGAATCTAACTTGCTGCACATTAACCAAAGCAAATCGGTCTACATGTTGTTCAGACCTGGCAGGTACTCGTCCTGTGCACGTGCTCGCGAATATGGCTCTGAGAACTCACTCACGTTATCAGGCACCACACTTACACGAGTAGATAAAGTGAGATTCCTTGGTGTTATCATAGACCATGAACTATCCTGGGAACCCCAACTGGATAACATAAAAAGTAAACTAACTACAAGTATAGCTATAATTAAACGTATTATGAAGTTTATTCCAGAAACAGAGTACCATAAGCTGTATGACTCCTTATTCAAGTCTCATATGAGCTACTGTATCAGTAGCTGGGGTGGTGTCACACCTTATAGACTATCTAAACTGTTCTCCATCCAAAAAAGATGCGTACGCCTTCTATTTGGAAGCAAACCAAGCTTTGACCGGGCAGAGTACTATGAAACATGTGCACGTGCAAGACCATACAGTGAACACATCACAAAAAGGAGCTTTGCTTTGGAAAACACTAAGCCAATTTTCAATATCGAGAAAATCATGTCAATCCACAACCTGTACATCCAACATATATCCACTGAACTGTTTAAAATCTTGAAACTGCATCAACCCATCTCTCTGACAAGTTTATTCCAAACAAGTTCCAGAACATGTAGCCAAACTATGCGGGTCCCCCGACACAAACTTGACATTTCTAAACACAATTTTGTCGTCAAAGGTACGACTATATGGAACAGTTTGATTGATAAAATATTCGACAAATGCACTCCTAATGAAAACAATGTCATGGTCCCTGGCTCTAGTAAATTTTCCGACCTTTCCTCCCCCATCTCAATTATCAAGAGCCGTATCAAAAAGCTGTTACTGGAAACCCAGCAATTGACAACACCTGGGCGTGAAATTGAGTGGCTCCCCCTAAATAGCTGGGGCATTGAACCAGCTTAGTTGATCAGCATCCCATCCCTTGCATACAATTAATTACAAAAGCGCTAATTATACCTGTTTCAAAAGCATCCTGTCTGGAAGTTCCCTGACTGCCGTGTGAATCTTTGGATCTATTTTTGGATCTATTTTTATATTGATATGATTTTTATATACCTATATATCCATCGCATAATTTCCATGTCCGCCTGAACAAACCTGGCACCATCAAATCTTACCTCTAGAAACCCCAGAACAAATCAAGCCTAGTCTGAATTCAAAACTAGTTGACCAGCTACGTACAGTTTCCTGGACAACTGGAACCTTTTTGGGCCATGCACAAGCCAATAGCATGTATGGTCCTGCAGTGGGGTCTCCTTGTCCTTGGATCTGTGTTTTGATCCGTCTTTTCTTAAAATTTTCAATTTGTGTCACTTAGACTCACCTATTAAATGTTAATCGACACCACTGGTCCTAGTTAGATTTAGCCAAGGCACGACTACTCAAAAGTAACAGTTAAATAGGTGTGACATACTATTATATTCTTATAATTATATCATATGAATTGATTGCACTGCTAATAAATAAAATACTTTGTTTTACTAAAATACTTTGTTTTACTTGTTTTACTTTAGTACATTGGGTACTGATCATAGATTTGTTTTGTCTAAGATCAAGCTATCTCTTCGACGAGCAAAAAAGCAACCCAAGAAAACCTGGTATAATTGGGGAGCACTAAAATCGGATGAAGACCTACAGAAGAGATATGCAGTAGAAGTCAAGAATCGGTACTCTGCTTTATGCGAGCAAACTGATGAAAGTGAGGTTACGGAACTGTATGGGCATTTTGTTGATGCGATTGCTGATACCAACAAAGCCATACTGCCTAAGAGAGAAAAGAAGAGACGTGACGATTTCGCGGGTGATCAGCGAGTTCAAAACGTGCGTACAGCGTTGCAGCAAGCAGAGACTGTCTATCACCGGGATCCTAGTGAAGACAGTCGACTCTCTGTTAACGTACTTAAAACTGAACTGGATCAGGTGTACCAGGACATCTTTGAAGAAGATCTAGTTGCCAAGGTTAAAAGGGTCGAAATGGCTGCAGACAGATGCAAAAATAAAGAAAGTTGGAATGTCATAAATGAGATTACTGGTAGGAAGGCCAAGGGGGCAACTCAAATAAGGGGCAACGGAGCCGAAGAGAGGAAGGAAAATTGGCTTAGGCATTTCACGAATCTTTTAGGGAGTACACCTGATGTGGAAAACGAACATCCTAGGATCGAGACTCAATTTGAAGGACTCAACATCAGTACAGAACCTTTTACTCTAGAGGAGCTCAAAGCTGCTAAACTCAGGATTAAAGAAGGTAAAGCACCAGGTGATGACGGTATACCACCTGAAGTCCTCAAAAGATGCGACCTGGATGAAATCGTGTTGTCCTTCTGCAACAAAGCCCTGACAGATGGTATTGCGCCAGATCAGTGGAGGATAAGCAACATCATTCCGGTCCCCAAAAAGGGAGACTTGACAAACCCTGGAAACTGGAGGGGGATATCTTTGACTTCACTTGTAGCAAAGACTCTTAATAGAATGGTGCTTAATAGGATCCAGCCGGCCATAGAAAGGGTACTTAGGGACACTCAGAATGGTTTTCGGGAAGGACGGTCCACTACTAGTCATATCTTAGCACTCAGAAGGATACTAGAGGGGGCTAGACAGAGAAACTTACCGGCAGCTATGGTGTTTGTTGATTTTAAGAAGGCCTTTGATTCACTTCACCGGGGAATTTTGATGCAAATACTAAAGGCCTATGGGATACCAGACAGTATTGTGGATATCATTAATCTACTCTATGTAAACACAAAGGGCAAAGTTATTACACCTGATGGGGATACTGAGCTATTTGATATCCTGGCAGGAGTTCTTCAAGGGGATACGTTAGCACCATACTTGTTTATTATAGCCCTTGACTATTGCATGAGACAAGCCTTAAGCAAGCACCCTGAAATAGGATTTACCATTAAGCCTTATAGGAGTAGGAGAGTTAAGGCGGAGAAGATATCAGACACTGGTTTTGCAGATGACATTGCTCTGATAGCAGATACTGTAAAGGAGGCAGAGACGCTGATGCTAGAGGTAGAAAGGGTTGCTGCTACAGTGGGACTTAGAATGAATGAAGGGAAAACCAAATTCATTACTCAGAACATCAAGAACCCTGATACCATCAAGTCCCTGGGTAACAGTACAATAGAGCATGTGGAAGACTTCACTTATCTGGGTTCTAGAATCAGAGACAGTGAGAGTGATATCAGGGTTAGGAAAGGAAGAGCATGGGGAGCATGCCACACACTCAAAAAGCTTTGGAATTCTAAGCTTAGAAAGTCTATCAAGATCAGAGTGTTTACAGCACTAGTGGAGTCGGTGCTACTGTACGGTTCCGAGACTTGGACAATGACGAAAAGGCTAGAGAAGATGGTTGATGGTTGCTATACGCGAATGTTAAGAATGGCCCTTAACATCAACCAATATCGAGACCATGTCAGCAACCACAGCCTGTACGGTGATCTTCCCAAAGTCAGCTCCAAGATAACCCAACGAAGGCTCAGACTTGCAGGTCATGCTCACCGACATCCGGAGCTGACACTGAACAAACTGATCCTCTGGAAGCCGAGTCATGGGCATACTAACAGGGGGCGACCTCATTTAACACTACTAGATAACCTAAAAGCAGATACTGGGCTGAAGTCAGTAGATGAGATAGCTAGACTGATGGAGGACAGAAAGCTGTGGAGAACTGTTGTCAATGGATCTCGGGAATACCACCCGCCTTAAGTCAGTCAGTAAGTCAGTTGATTGTTTTGTGGTAAATAAAAATTTTGTTTTACTAAAAAAAAATTTTGTTTTGGGGGGGGTGTCATGTCCGTCTATGTCCGCCTATGTCCTGTCCTTTTTGGATTCTATGAGACAACGGACGTGTTTTTTTGGCGGACACGGACGGACATTGGCGGACTTGGACGGACATTGGCGGACTCGGACGGACATAGGCGGACCCGGACGGACATAGGCGGACTCGGACGGACATTAGCGGACATTGGTGGACATTAGCGGACAAACATTTTGAGAATTTTTCGTAACTTGTATTATAATCTTGTACAAAACAAACGACTTATTAATCACACTAAAGCTATTAATAGCTTTAACTTATTATATCAAATTATATAGGGACCCAGGAAAAGGCCCCAAGAGTAGTCATTGGCCCCCCCCCCCCCCCCCCCCGGAGAAGGATGAGGAGGAGGACTGAGGACCGAGGAGGAAGAGGAGGAGGATGAAGAGGAGGAGGACCCAGGAGGAGGAGGACTGAGGAGGAGGACTGAGGAGGATGACTGAGAGGGAAGAGGAGGAGGAGGAGGAGGAGGAGGACTCAGGAGGAGGAGGAGGACTGAGGAGGACTGAATAGGAGGAGGAGGAGGGGGACTGGGGGAGGACTGAGGAGGAGGATGGAGGACTGAGGAGAAGGATGAGGAGGAGGACTGAGGAGGACTGAGGACTGAGGAGGAAGAGGAGGAGGGGGACCCGGGAGGAGGACCCGGGAGGAACTCAGGAGGGGGGAGGGGGAGGGGGAGGAGGGGACGTTGGGACTGATGGGAGGATGGGGGGAGGGGGAGGAGTAAGGAGAAGGGGGAGGAGGGGGACCAGGGGGACTGGGGAGGAGGATGAGGATGACTGAGAAGGAGGGGGATAAAGGGTACTGAGGAGGAGGTGGGGGGTGATGAGGGGATACTAAAGGGGGAGGAAGGATCAGAGGAGGATGGAGGAAGGGGATCAGGGGAGGATTAAGAAATGAGAAGGAGGACTGAGGAGAACTGAGGAGGAGGAGGAGGAGGAGGACTGAATAAGAGGAGGAGAAGGAGGGGGACTGGGAGAGGACTGAGGACTGAGGAGGACTGATGAGAAGGATGAGGAGGAGGACTGAGGACCGAGGAGGAAGAGGAGGAGGAGGACCCAGGAGGAGGAGACTGAGGAGGATGCTGAGAGGGAAGAGGAGGAGGAGGAGGAGGACTCAGAGGAGGAGGAGGAGGACTGAGGAGGACTGAGAAGGAGGAGGACTGAGGAGGAGGAGGAAGAGGAGGATTGAATAGGAGGAGGGGGACTGGGGGAGGACTGAGGAGGAGGATGGAGGACTGAGGAGAAGGATGAGGAGGAGGACTGAGGAGGACTGAGGAGGAAGAGGACTGGGGAGGAGGACCCAGGAGGAGGACTCAGGAGGAGGAGGAGGACTGGGGAGGAGGAGGACTGTTGAGGACTGATGAGGAGGACTGAGGACGAGGAGGAAGAGTAGGAGGAGGCTGAGGAGGGGAGGAGGAAGAGGACTGAGGAAGATCAGGAATACCAGGAGGAGGCCGAGGAGGAGGAAGAGTAGGAGGAGGAAGCATCTAAATGTTATTTCCATTTTTGTCCGTTTTTGTCCATTTTTGTCCGCTCTATTTTTTGTCCGTTTTGAAAATATAGGGTACCGTTTTGAAAATATAGGGACAAAAAACATGATCCCCTATAACAGCAAAAATTGAACATTTTATTTAGCAATTTAGGTGTCCATTAATGTCGCTAATGTCCGTATATGTCCGTCTATGTCCGCCTATGTCCGTCTATGTCCGCCTATGTCCGCCTATGTCCTGTCCTTTTTGGATTCTATGAGACAAGCGGACATAGACGGACGTGACAACCCCCCCCCCCCCCCCCCTGTTTTACTATTAGCCTGATATCCATGAAGCCGAATGGCATCAAATCCCCTTTTGAATCCAGTAACTGACTCACTAGCTTTCACAAGTGGTGTTAGACTGTTCCAGTAGCGCAAGACCCTTTGGGCAAAGAAGTCAGTCTCATTTGTGGTAAATCTGTGTGGCTTTGACCTAGCAGAGACATAAGTTTTTTTAAACGAGTGCTATTAATCGTCCTCAGCTGTAATGTGTTTTGAACATCGTTAGAACTAGGAATAAACAAGAAATCAACACTTACATACACGTAAAAGGTATCGCAACATTAAACAGTAGCGCCGATAAAACTAAGAAATTCGTGAGTAATAGGACATATTTTGCTTGAGCGCTCGATTTTCATAGTATGGCGTAAATCGGCAAAAATATGCGCGGCGCATAAATTTTTTTAAATTCACTAAAAAGTTTTTTTAAAATCATAAAAACATCAAGTACATTAAAATTTAAGCTTTTTTATTATAATTTGTGACAAATTTAACTGTCAATAAAATTATATTTAAGTGCCAAAAATAAAATGCGCGCAAAAATGGATAAAAACGATTTTTGAATTTTTGGCTTAGGAAATTCTGAAATAACAGGTTAATTTTAATATAAACTTGTGCAGCTTATTTCTTTGCAGCTAGAGCTAGACTAAGAGACTTTACACAAATTTTTTGATATTCCAACAAATTTAATTTGCTTTAAAAAAATTAAAAAATACAATTTGTTTACTTATTTTTGGACCAAAGTGAAAATTGATTTTTAGCAATTTTAAGGTGACCAGGGAATTTTAGTTTAATTATCTCGGAACCAGTTTTAATAAATTCTACGGTCAAAAATACGTTCAGGGGTGTACAACTTTTAAAATATTTCAAACTATGGCGAACACCGCGAGTCGGCGAGTGCATAACTAACTGATTAAACTAATAACTAACTAAACGTAACAGTATAATTAGTTGTAACATCATAATGCATAAGGTTTCGATCAATGATTAAGTTTATAATTAAAATTGTTCTACTACTACCGTTTAATGTTTAGGCGTTTATAGTACAATTTGATAATTTTGCAAAACGGCTCGCGGATTTTGAATTTCAGCTCCTTATATAGAGCTCCGAGAGTTTTGAGTTCAGAACAGATGTAGAAGATAAAACAGCTAAAAAGAAAGCACAAGCAAAGTGGAGGAGCTTATTTCGATAAATTTATGTTGATGGAAAAAGTACGAAAGTTTAAACGTAGATTTTGGGGGTGAAGATCGAGTTTTAGGATGATGATTAATCACTCTACACTCGACTGTCACGTAACTTTTTTAACCCGTTCTCTAGCTGGTTCTGAACGACTTTTCGAAACCGTAACCCTCTAATCTGATCCCAACCCTAACCCTAACCCAATCCTTAACAAAAACATATGCTGAAACCCTAACCCTAACGAGAAATTAGACTAACTTCCTTATACGGACATATCACGTGATCGAGACAGTTTTTCGCCAATATCTCGTCAGGGGAGCATTTTAACCCTATGTCATGGGGGGTGATTCGGAATCAGCGTCCGAAAATACATCGCATGAAGTTGGTTACAACCGTCGGGGGCTCTTTTTGAACAATCTCGAAGATCGACTGTAGAGTGATTTAGCACGCTCGCGAGTTTTAACGACTATATTTACGGATCTCCTAACGATAGAACCTGCACTCCTGCCTGTCCAACCAACTTCATTCTCAAGGAAGACCAACACCCAGGATGAGGCCCGTCTTGATGTATCAGCTAACATTTTAAAATGTTTTAATACTTTCAACACTACTATATAACAAATAATTTGAGGACCCGAAACCGCTGAGCAGTCTCTATCTTGAACTTGCTCAACCCCATCTCACTTTGAGAATGGTGGAATCCGGTCAAACCGATCAACAGCCAGTGGGGCTGGGTACCTCAAATTATGTCTTTCAGGAAGATAACAAAGGAAATGACAATGAAAGGCATGATTTGGGGTCCCAGATTAAAGACAATCAGACATCAGCCCCTGCTGCACCTGAATCCTCAGAAGCTGTTGCAGAGAACAGAACCCCTGAGGACTGTGAAGCAGACGTAAGCAGTTTTGTTTCATTTTGTACCAATGCTTCAACACCTTTTGATACAATTCTTTTGGCCCATTCAAAAAACTTACGATCTGAAGTAGACAATATCAAACTGAACTTTTGTAGTACTTTGAAAGTAGAAGTAGACCAATTTGCAACGTTGACCCCTACAATCATCAAAAACTGTTCAACACTTAACAAATATACCCTGGCAGACGGCCTTCTGTCCCTACTTTCTCTGTCAGAGAAAGTATGTGCAGTAATAGGGGGTAAAAGGTTGTCTATCGGTGACAACCCCATCGATGAAGCAGCAGTTGCTTCTTCCGTAGCTGCTGACTCCATTTCTGGAAATGCTACCCTCCATGAATCCCTTCAGGCTATTCAAAATAGCATTCTTAAGAGAGATAAGGTGCACAATGGCACTCTCAAATCAATCAGTGGCCAGCTTAACACCCTGACTCTCTCCATTGATCAGTACATGAAACCATCAGATATGTCAACTCCAGATGTACCACGTAACACTGCATTTCCTTCTTTCCCAATAGGCCTTCCTAATATCAATATCGAAAAACCAGATCCTAAGATTGACTTACATACAGTGCAAAATCCTATAGACACCTCCATTGGTCACATTGAGTCATTCACACCAGATTTTGTTGCCCAAGAACTTTCGGATAAACTCACTGAATACCTTGACACATTCAGTGAACAGTTTGATGCAAACTCAGAAAGAGGACATGGTGTCATAAGCTTTGGGGATGCATACAACTATCCAGGAGCCAAAGCTGCAAAACCTATATCCAAAAACATCCCTGAACCCCTAACTGAACTTGTTTCGCTCATCCAGGCCAAATTCCCTGAAAGTGTCATTAATCAGTGTTTAGTGAATCGCTACCTTGACGAGAAATCAGAGCTGCCGAAGCATTCGGACAACGAAGCCTCACTAATGTTTGATAGTAACATCTTCACTATATCACTAGGCAGTACCTGTGATGTTCTATTCAGTAAAATCGAAGGATCTGAAACCAAAACTGTATCAGCTACTGGAAAAAGTCTATATGTTATGAGTAAGCAATCTCAGTCTGTTTGGCAACATCAAATAGATCAATCTCCAACCACACGTGAGAAAAGATATAGTGTTACATTTCGTTATGTTACATCTAACAACGAAAATGCAACAATAATAATAGGAGACTCCAACACCAGATTCTTGAAATTCGGTAGTGGGAAAGGACGTTTCGGTCATAGAATGCCAGGGAAAAGGGTAGAATGTTTTACTATTGATATGATTAACCCAAGTTTGTGTGAAGGTTACAGAAATATTTTTATTCATTGTGGAGTAAATGATATTAAGAAACGGAGCTCAAATATCGAGCAGTGTGCCAGTGATCTCAAGGTAAAACTTGATGATATATGTCGTAAATGTCCATACTCCAAGGTTACCGTTTCGCCAGTACTACCCACTAAGTTTGGCTGGTTGAACGAGAAAGCATTATATTTTAACAAACTTATATTTCAATATGTTGACATGAACCCAAGGGTGGGAACTCTAGATTTTAATGAATTTGTTGGTGAAGATGGTAAACTAGCTGACCAGTTCGGTCGTTTCAAGGATAAAAGTGATGCCATCCATCTTGGGTCTACTGGTATCTTTAAGTTGTCTAGGCTAATAGTGGATAAAATACAGCGCAATCCAATAGATGGGCGCCAATTTAGTGATATTGCTAGGAGTAAAGTTGGGATGTTCAATTCACGTGTTCAAAGAGCTCCGAAACCATGAATAGAACAAATATATGTGAGAACTGTATCTGCTGCAGCAAACCTATTCGTGCTGGACACCCATTTATAAATTGTAATAAGTGTGATTGCATCATTCACAAGAGATGTAAAACACAGGAAAACATTGCCACTTTTAGAGAAAAAACTTACTGCTCAAATTGTATTCAAAATCATGATATAATTCGTTATAATCCATTCTATCAAGCACCTCACTTTTCAAACAACGAACTACTTGACAATGAACCTCACGACTATATAGACTCAATAGGTACAATCTCAAAAACTCTTGAGAACTGTCAATCATATTCTACTAAAAACTTCAACAACCTCATAAAGCAGATTCCTCAAACAACATCAAAGCGCATATTCTCACACTACTTTCGAAATATTGATGGAAATGGTACTAACTTTGACAAATTGGCCTTAGAATTAGCCTGCATAGACCACAAATTTTCTGTGATAGGTTTAGCAGAAACAAACATTGATCCCTGTAATAGTCAGCTGTACCAAATTAAAGACTATACTTCATGTTACCAAAAACGCTTCGTTTCTAATAAGACACAACAGGTAAAAAGTAAAGGAAGTGGAGTTTCTCTCTACATGTACATTCACAACTCCTTTAACTTTAGTGTGATTGAAAAGTTATCTGTTTGTACAGAGCAATTTGAGTCCCTATTCGTAACAATAAGTAATGCTCCAGAACCAGTAACAGTTGGAGTTGTATACCGCTCACCAAGCAATCCACTTGCTAACTTCAATGCACAGTATAAAGAAGTTCTTACTGCACTGAAAGGACATAAAGCATACATATTAGGGGACTTCAATGTTAACTTAACCAATTTATCAGGCCCAGATGAAGATATATTCGAAGAAGTTATTTATAGTCACGGGTTCACGCCCACAATATCCATTCCCACACACCAAATGCCCCACTGCTCAAAAACGTGCATTGATAACATACACACTAATGACATTCACTCATCAACTATATCTGGAGTAATTCAGGATAGTGCTTCACATCACCAGCCCATTTTCTGCCTTCAAGTAATGAATTCTGATACTAGTTCGGAACAGAATAAATCACCTGAAAAAACAACCATTTATTATAACTATAGTAATGCAAACCTTGATAAGCTCTGTGAAGAAATTGAAAACGACATAGATACATTTTACCACAGATGTGACTCTTTTGAATCCTTCATGGATCTGTTTCAAGAAAAGATAGATATATCTTGCAAATTGGCTTCACCAAAAACCACCAAACGAAATAATATAACAAATCCATGGATCACAAACGGCCTTATCAACTCTGTGGAGAAAAAAGCCAGACTTTATTTTGAATGGAAAAAAACAAAAACATTGTTAATTCCAGATGGGGATCTGGAAAGACATAATGTTTACAAGGACTACTCAAAATATCTTAAAATTGCCATAAAAACTGCCAAAACCAGGTATTATGCTGAAAAGTTTGAGAAAAATAGCCATAACTCCAAAAAAACCTGGCAAATAATTAACGAGCTTCGTGGCAAAAAGAAGAATCAGCTAAAAGATGACTTCATTATAGATGGAACTAGAGTAATTTGTAGGCGGACAATTGCAAACAAATTCAATAGTTACTTTACATCTTTAGCTAGTAATTTAAATGAGAAGGTTTTGTCCGAGAACCAACTGTCTATCCAACCAATGCAATCATTTGTTGAGTTTATGTCGAAATCAGTCAACAGTTCAATACATCTAGAAGAAACTCATCCTGAGGAGATTCTTGAAATAATTCAAGAATTCGTTAACGGAAAAGCCAGTGATATACCAATAGCAGTTATCAAGAAACCGGCTCATCTCTTATCCAACATATTAGCAAATTTGTATAATACATGTATTCAAAAAGGCACGTTCCCATCCATATTCAAAATAGGCAAAGTAACTCCTATCCATAAAAAAGATAATAAAGAAAATATTGAAAATTATAGACCTGTGTCAATATTGCCAATCTTTGGTAAAATATTTGAAAAAATAATATACAAACGGCTTTATACCTTTTTCACTGCTAATGACATTCTCAGTAATGAACAATTTGGTTTTCGAAAAGGCCACTCAACCTCACATGCACTCCACAAATCAGTTCATTCAATCACAACATCAACATCCAGTGGTAATCATGTTCTAGGAATCTTTATTGACCTAAGCAAAGCTTTTGATACTCTTGACCATGGCATTCTCCTGAGGAAACTGGAAAATTATGGGGTTAGAGGTCTAGCTCTAGGACTTCTAAAAAGCTATTTATCCGATAGATCACAGTATGTTTCATTTCTCAACACTACATCAGAGACTATGAATGTAAAATATGGAGTTCCCCAAGGTTCCATACTAGGCCCTCTACTTTTCTTATTATATATGAACGACATAATAAACTGTTACAAAGGCGATGAATGCAAATTTGTGCTCTATGCTGATGACACAAATATATTTATCACTGGACCGTCCAAAGAAGCAACATACTTGAAGGCCAATAAAGTTCTTGATTTCGTATGCAAATTCATGAGAATTAATCTCTTACATATAAATATGTCTAAATGCTGCTACATACATTTTCTACCTGCATACGAATCTGATGAAACCTGCGCCAGGGTTAGGCCGTATGCCAATGAACATGACAAATCACAAGGAATATTTATAAATGGACACAAAATTGTCAAGGTTAGCAACACCAAATTTCTTGGTGTAGTAATTGATGAAAAACTTAGCTGGGGCCCACATATAGAATATCTAAGAAAAAAAATTAGATCCACTACAGGAGCACTTAACAGGATTAAACATTCAGTTCCAGGGGAACACTACCAAAAAATATACTCTGCATTATTGGAATCACATCTTGCTTACGGAATAAGTGTTTGGGGCTCAGCTCTCAAAGACCAACCAAACGATAAGCTGTTCATAACTCAGAAACGTTGTATAAGAATCCTTTTTGGAGACCTAAATGCATACCTCGACAAACATGCCACTTGTGCACGAGCCAGACCTTATACAAAACAGAGGTTAGGAGCTGCTTTTTTCGAAAAAGAGCACACCAAGCCCATTTTTAATCGACTAAAATTGCTTACCGTTCAAAACTTGTACAAATACCACTGTATATCTGAGATATTTCGAATTATGAAATTTCGCACTCCATACTCGTTGTATTGTACTATAGACTCATCAAAACGTGATACAAGCAATGTCATAATTCTCCCAAGAAAAACCAACACTTTTCTTTATATAGCCTCCAAATTGTGGAATAGCATACATAAACGGATTCTAAATGAGAATGGGGAAATCCTCACTACTTCTGTAGCTTTGGTTAAATTACGCTGTAAAAGTATCATCCTGGGATCTCAATCCATCAACAATAATAACACCTGGACTTACCACAACTTTCACATCGCCCCTCACTCAATCACAGACCAAACCATTTCATCACTCACTCACCAAATTGCCGACCCAATATCTATTGAAGTGGCGAAAATTTTCTAGACAAATGATATTTCGATATTATTGCTGCAGCAGATACAAATACCAACATTATTATATTCCCAAACGTTTGAACCTTTAAATTAACTAGGAAAGTCAATCCTCAACTTGACTTTTACTGTTTTAAACAGATATGATGATATTAACTTAATTTATTATTATTATTATTATTATTTTTTTTACATACTCCTTCTTAGTGTGGTGACTTGGGGTCCATAAATATAACAATACAAGCTGATAAACCAAAAAGAACAACTGGGGTAGGTAGGTAGCCCTGGTGGGTGCGTAAACTTTACGGCCTGCTCTCTCCAAGATCAGCCTGCTTCTCCATTTTACCGTGAAGCCCCATTTCTTATGAAGAAATGCAAAGCTACTAGGATTTTTCCAGCATTCATTTTGAACAATTGTAATTTAAATACAGACATTTTATTTCCTAATCATCTTCCTCTGGACTTCTCTGTGTTTTTGCTTCAATTTGTTCGCAAGTTAAGAGTCTAAAGAGAAATTCTCCAAGAGAAATCAAGTTCAAATGCGACTCATAAATATAGCCCCCTTGAACTATTTAGCCTAATTTCTAGTTTTTATAAAATATACAATGCAAGTGCAGGTTTACTAATCTTAATCTACTTAACAACTCAATAGCCCAAGTCACCATACCCGTAGTATATTCCATGGTAATAGAAGAGCTTTAAAGTTTTTCAAATTGTTGCTATAATTGATTTAAATAAAAATTTGTTGTTTTCTTGAAAAATTTGTTGTTTTCTTGAATGTTGGACTGAATACACCCCTGCTTTGCAGCATCATCTGTGGTTCCTTGTCTTACTATATGTAAAGCGAGACGATATATATGAATTCAATAGGTACTAATTATTTTAGTCTCTTGAGTCTTGACACCATTTAGGGTTATACGGGTTCCTGCTAGTATAACTAACTCAAATATTTGCCGACAAAGTGCTGTTACATACAATTTTACTTTACAAGTTTGTTTATTTATTTCAATAAGAATATTGTGATATTTTGAAAAATGATTATTTTTGACAGTGAATTAGAACTTTTAATTTAAAGTTCTAAGGGAATAAAAGAACCATTCTGTCAGAAACAGAACTATTGGTATGGTCATTATTTGAGATCAGAGCAAAAAACTAACAAAGATTAATTTATGTTTCATATGGCCAAGCTTTGTAGCATCCGGTCAAGTTTGCAACATCTGACCAACTTTAAGATGAGAGCGATTCTGGTGCTTGTTAGCAATAAGGTTAAAGAGAAATCTTGCTGTGTCATGTGACTGAGTCTCGAAAGTCTAAATTTTAAAATTTTTGATCTTTTATGTTCTATTTGGTAGGATTTTCGATGAAAGAAAATTAAGAATACTGTCTGTCAACTTGATGATTACTTATCACTTATCAGCAGCTAGAATGTGAAGCAAAACAGTATGATCTATGGCATGGACTTCAGTTTACACGCTATCCTGTTCTTTTCTTGTCATTGTTTGTAGCCTCGAAACCTGCTCACTCTCCTCCAAACAGTATCCTGAGTTAGAATTGAAAAATGCATCAAACTATACGAGAAACTGTCCACTGGTAAGTTCTCATTGGCTTGGTGTTTGTAGCACAATTTTTTCCCTACTATTGCCGAAAGCAAAAAGATCATAAGTATTGGTTAGGACAGCAAGCTACTCCTTCGTAACATATACCAGGCCCTTTTATTTCTGTGGAGGCGTCTATTTTGCCGCATGCGACACCAGTCATGAGCTAATTTATTACACCCACAGAGACCAGATTTAATGTCCATGATATATTTCAACGATTATATTAACTTGAAGCCCAAGTTACCAACTATAATCGATTTATTTAAAATTACTTCTCCCAGATTTCAGTGGCATCAGAACAGATATGTATCAAAGAGTTTTGTAGAATAGTTGAAGCAAGAAATGACTGTTATGGTAATGCTATCCAGTTACTAAAAGATGGTAAATAGTCAAACTATATATGCAGGGATTGGGAAATTATAATATAATGATCAGTAAAAACTAAAATAGTCGTTTTTTCATAAAGCTATAAGTAATAAGTGTAGATAATTTCTCAATTTTAGCTCACTCTTTTTATTAATATGCTTTTAAATAATTTGTAAACTAAATAAATTTTTCAGGTACGGGATTTATATGCTACATTTTACAGTTACACAGCTGCCCCGGGTCATCTGGCTGTCAGTTTGAAAAAAGGGTTGGGTCCAAGATTCTTCTTTCAGACAATTTCAAAAAACCTGAAGGTTTGTCAAGCAAGTTGTAGGTATTGATATCTGGCCTTTATATGGAAACTGTAGCTTAGCAAAGCTTGTCACGAGTCTAACAATGAGACATATGAACTGAATATTTTTGCTGTGTCTTTATTTACATTTTTTATTGAGACCTTATTATTTAATTTAACTGAATTCCTCAGAGTATGATGTAGTGTGTCCAGAAATGCACCGTTGTGCAAGTGGAAAATGTTTGGACAAGATAAACATTTGTGACGGTATAACGGACTGTCCAGATGGTAGCGATGAACTCGCATGTGTTCAAGATGGTAAGTTTTTGTAATTTAATGATAAAAAGTATTATAAAGGTTGACATTATTTTCGTAGTGCTTTATTTGGTTGTTTGCATTCATTATTAACTGATTTATAATTATATTTCAAACAAAATATCGGTCAATCTGATAAATTATGATAGATTCAAGTTCTTCTGCTTCCTTGCTTCAGGTATTGGTGAACTACCCTCAACCACAAATTACATCACTATTATTATTTTCTCATTATCTTATTTAAATATGATCCCTTATATATATCATTAATTTTAAACTAATTTCCCACTATTTGTAATCCTCGTTGTTTCAGAGAGTTGTGATGCGCCAAACAACTTTGTATGTCGGAGTGATGGAAAATGTATACCATCCTCTCTAAAGTGCGATGGAGTTATTGACTGTACAGATGGTTCTGATGAGATGGGGTGTACGGAGTATTGTGAGTGTAATTATAGTTCTTAATTAATGAGTACGGAGTATTGTGAGTGTAATTATAGTTCTTAATTAATGAGTACGGAGTATTGTGAGTGTAATTATAGTTCTTAATTACGGAGTATTGTGAGTGTAATTATAGTTCTTAATTAATGAGTACGGAGTATTGTGAGTGTAATTATAGAACTGTTAATTAATGAGTACGGAGTATTGTGAGTGTAATTATAGAACTGTTAATTAATGAGTACGGAGTATTGTGAGTGTAATTATAGTTCTTAATTAATGAGTACGGAGTATTGTGAGTGTAATTATAGTTCTTAATTAATGAGTACGGAGTATTGTGAGTGTAATTATAGTTCTTAATTAATGAGTACGGAGTATTGTGAGTGTAATTATAGTTCTTAATTAATGAGTACGGAGTATTGTGAGTGTAATTATAGTTCTTAATTAATGAGTACGGAGTATTGTGAGTGTAATTATAGTTCTTAATTAATGAGTACGGAGTATTGTGAGTGTAATTATAGAACTGTTAATTAATGAGTACGGAGTATTGTGAGTGTAATTATAGAACTGTTAATTAATGAGTACGGAGTATTGTGAGTGTAATTATAGTTCTTAATTAATGAGTACGGAGTATTGTGAGTGTAATTATAGTTCTTAATTAATGAGTACGGAGTATTGTGAGTGTAATTATAGAACTGTTAATTAATGAGTACGGAGTATTGTGAGTGTAATTATAGTTCTTAATTAATGAGTACGGAGTATTGTGAGTGTAATTATAGAACTGTTAATTAATGAGTACGGAGTATTGTGAGTGTAATTATAGTTCTTAATTAATGAGTACGGAGTATTGTGAGTGTAATTATAGTTCTTAATTAATGAGTACGGAGTATTGTGAGTGTAATTATAGTTCTTAATTAATGAGTACGGAGTATTGTGAGTGTAATTATAGAACTGTTAATTAATGAGTACGGAGTATTGTGAGTGTAATTATAGAACTGTTAATTAATGAGTACGGAGTATTGTGAGTGTAATTATAGTTCTTAATTAATGAGTACGGAGTATTGTGAGTGTAATTATAGAACTGTTAATTAATGAGTACGGAGTATTGTGAGTGTAATTATAGAACTGTTAATTAATGAGTACGGAGTATTGTGAGTGTAATTATAGTTCTTAATTAATGAGTACGGAGTATTGTGAGTGTAATTATAGAACTGTTAATTAATGAGTACGGAGTATTGTGAGTGTAATTATAGAACTGTTAATTAATGAGTACGGAGTATTGTGAGTGTAATTATAGAACTGTTAATTAATGAGTACGGAGTATTGTGAGTGTAATTATAGAACTGTTAATTAATGAGTACGGAGTATTGTGAGTGTAATTATAGTTCTTAATTAATGAGTACGGAGTATTGTGAGTGTAATTTTAGAACTGTTAATTAATGAGTACGGAGTATTGTGAGTGTAATTATAGTTCTTAATTAATGAGTACGGAGTATTGTGAGTGTAATTATAGTTCTTAATTAATGAGTACGGAGTATTGTGAGTGTAATTATAGTTCTTAATTAATGAGTACGGAGTATTGTGAGTGTAATTATAGAACTGTTAATTAATGAGTACGGAGTATTGTGAGTGTAATTATAGAACTGTTAATTAATGAGTACGGAGTATTGTGAGTGTAATTATAGTTCTTAATTAATGAGTACGGAGTATTGTGAGTGTAATTATAGTTCTTAATTAATGAGTACGGAGTATTGTGAGTGTAATTATAGAACTGTTAATTAATGAGTACGGAGTATTGTGAGTGTAATTATAGTTGTTAATTAATGAGTACGGAGTATTGTGAGTGTAATTATAGAACTGTTAATTAATGAGTACGGAGTATTGTGAGTGTAATTATAGAACTGTTAATTAATGAGTACGGAGTATTGTGAGTGTAATTATAGAACTGTTAATTAATGAGTACGGAGTATTGTGAGTGTAATTATAGTTCTTAATTAATGAGTACGGAGTATTGTGAGTGTAATTATAGAACTGTTAATTAATGAGTACGGAGTATTGTGAGTGTAATTATAGTTCTTAATTAATGAGTACGGAGTATTGTGAGTGTAATTATAGTTGTTAATTAATGAGTACGGAGTATTGTGAGTGTAATTATAGAACTGTTAATTAATGAGTACGGAGTATTGTGAGTGTAATTATAGAACTGTTAATTAATGAGTACGGAGTATTGTGAGTGTAATTATAGTTCTTAATTAATGAGTACGGAGTATTGTGAGTGTAATTATAGAACTGTTAATTAATGAGTACGGAGTATTGTGAGTGTAATTATAGTTGTTAATTAATGAGTACGGAGTATTGTGAGTGTAATTATAGTTGTTAATTAATGAGTACGGAGTATTGTGAGTGTTATTATAGTTGCTAATTAATGTGTACGGAGTATTGTGAGTGTAATTATAGAACTGTTAATTAATGAGTACGGAGTATTGTGAGTGTAATTATAGTTCTTAATTAATGAGTACGGAGTATTGTGAGTGTAATCATAGTTGTTAATTAATGAGTACGGAGTATTGTGAGTGTAATTATAGTTGTTAATTAATGAGTACGGAGTATTGTGAGTGTAATTATAGTTGTTAATTAATGAGTTAATTAATGAGTTAATTAATTCCATTAATTTTTTTTGAAAATATTCGAAAAATATATTACATTAATATTTATAACAACGTATATCAATAAGATTTTTAGCATCAATTCATTGAGTCCATGTGCATGGGACTCCTAATTAGCTAATCAACTAGTTAACTAAGCTTTGATACAAAGCATGCAAACTCAAAGTCACTCTCATCCTGGTCGATTCCTGCAGTAAATGCTCATGTACTTCCATTGATTGTACTGCACTTGGATTAATCTAATTCTAAAGTGTGCGATGTACAATATTCAGCATCAATGTTATTAGGTCATATTTCAATACTGCTGTTGAGTATGAACTCTGCAATGTGTTTACTGTAGATAATGATGTGGAGACTGGAGAGGTTATCCGTGTTTTCTTTTGGAGGACCGAGCTCACTATTATTAGTAAATGAATTAATGCAATACATGTACATGACGTTATCTTAGCAGTAAACGTTACTGATAGTATAAGTAGGTTTAATAAAATGGACTCAAGTTAGAGTGCAGTATTGTTGTTGTTGTTGATGTCCGCTGTCTGCATAAGTTAATCGTGTAATGTGTAATGTGTAATGACAATGTGTAATGTGTAATGTGTAATGTGTAATGTGTAATGTGTAATGTGTAATGTGTAATGTGTAATGTGTAATGTGTAATGTGTATACATGATAAACATGGAGAACTATATTCGTTTTAATTCACACCATGAGCGCCTCAAACAATTTGTCATAATATAACTTAGTGTTGATTGTTGAGAGTAATTGTATTTATAGGATATATAGCAACTTTTTACCAGTATAAAATGTACATTGTACAATATAAAGGGTGTGTTAAGTGTACAATTTATTTGGTGTAGAGTGTAGAGTGTAGAGTGTATAGTGTAGTGTAGAGTGTAGAGTGTAGAGTGTAGAGTGTAGAGTGTTGAGTGTAGAGTGTATAGTGTAGAGTGTAGAGTGTTGAGTGTAGAGTGTAGAGTGTAGAGTGTAGAGTGTAGAGTGTAGAGTGTAGAGTGTAGAGTGATGAGTGTAGAGTGTAGAGTGTTGAGTGTAGAGTGTAGAGTGTAGAGTGTATAGTGTTGAGTGTAGAGTGTAGAGTGTTGAGTGTAGAGTGTAGAGTGTTGAGTGTTGTGTGTAGAGTGTAGAGTGATAAGTGTTGAGTGTCGAGTGTAGAGTGTACATTATGCTATGATTCTACTGTTGTCTGTACGATGCTATAATTACGCCTGCTGATCAGATATGATTATATATGCTGATTGCTGATGAGGTATTGTTTGTTTAATTATGTGCTATTGTTTGTATAATTATGTGCTATAAATACAATTGGCACACTCTTTGAAATTTTAAAGTTTCTCATACATATTAAAGAAGATAAGTGCAGCGAATGTGTGGCTCTTCTATATAGTACATGTACCAAATGTAACCTTACTATACACTTACCTTGCTTGTAAAGGTAAAGGTACGGAGTCCAATATGTTATATATCATTTATTGAGCGCAATATATTAACTCCACTGTACCCCGAGCTGAGTACAGTTCTGTTAGTATTCTACAATCAGTGAGATATATCTACTCCTCCGTACTGAGAGCTGAAACAGTACAGTTCCCACTTCCTAGTCTCTCAATCGAACACTGACTGTATAAGTGTGTTAATATCAGCAATATATAACAATATATCTGTATATATATTACTAGTAATATATCTAGAAATATATCTAGAAATATATCTAGAAATATATAGCAAATTATAGCAATGCAGCGCTCAACCATTTTATACGCAGTATCTGCAATATTTTCAGTGTTTCAACCCTTTTTAAAAGGATTATAGACTTGGTCACAAGTGAAAAGGTGAGCCACCTTGTCTTGCTTCTTCGAATTATACAGGAGAATTGTTTAGGCTGAGGCTGAGGCTGAGGCTGAGGCTGAGGCTGAGGCTGAGGCTGAGGCTGTTATCTGTTATATTATGTAAGATATGATCTACATAACACATAATATTTAGTATGTCATTATATCAGGTGATGTACTGAATATTAGAGTGTGTGTGTGAAGCGATGTGTAGTATCAAATAACACCGGAACATGATATGATAACGTGACTGGTACTGGTGTATGAGTGGTTTTATTGCTTATTTTACTGTAATATATAACTGCTTCCACCTGATCCAAAGTAACACAATGTTATATAGTTATATCATATATGCATATTATATATAATGTGATTAGTGGTATACACTATACACTTTACATATATAATATGTAGTAAAGCGAGGATTTTGGCAAAACGTGTTGGCTAAAATGTATTAGGTTAGGGTTGGTGTAAAGATAAGGATCCTAGAGCAGGAGGTTCTGGTACAGGACAGGTATATCCTGATGTAGGGTGATTTATCCAAATACAATATCTTTTCTATAACAGAATTAGGCATCATTACTCGATCATTAATCAATCTTATCTGAATATATGGTTATTATTTAATATTTATACTTAATACTTATTTTACGTATGTAAACTGACCGAAGATACAGCCGATTTAAATATAAGACACTTTAAACACAACTCGATTACCACAAAACCGATCAAAATTCCGGTCGAGCAATCATTGCACGTGCGCATTCTAACACTGTTGCTAGGCAACCTTATGCTTTTTACCTAACTTCCTATTCCTCATATAATTTGCACGTGGCCGGTCGTACATGTACAATATACATAGTAGAATTATAGTAGAGAATATGTTATTACAGTTTTCAATTTTCATATTACCTGGCATGTTACCTTGTAATTCTAATGACTGGCATATAACTGGCATATTATTGTATAATAACTGGCAATGTTGTGAAGGCTGATTTTCAATGTGAGCACAGTACGTTTTTCTATTGAACTTGCCAACAATTTATAATTATGCAGCGATATCACAATATTTTTTTGAGAAATTCTAGAAGAATGTTTGTATGGCTTTTTAAACTAGAGATATGAAAACTGTACAGACATGGGAATATGGTATTGCTGTTAAAGTCTTGAATTCGGAATCTGTCTTTTTTTCGAATATAAAATATAAAAGGTTTCTACTGCCCACTTGCACTTTCGAAATATAAACCAGTGAGTTTGATAGGGAAATCAACTAATTAATAAAGTAAAGTAAAGTTTATGACATCACATGTCTACAAAATATCATCGCACTAGCCACTATGTGAAAAAATATATAATAAATATTTCCTCACCAACATCAGTTATCAAATACAATATATTAAAAAGTTTATCAAATAAAGTATCCTATTTTAAACACCCTGATTTTTCAGTGACAAGAAGAAAGGCTAACACAACGTTGATGATCACTGCTATCTCAGTTGGAGTGGTGTTATCTTTGTTACTTATAGTCCTAATGTTCGCTTGTGGCCAGAAGTTGTACCTCAATCATTTTGAGCAGAGAGAACGGCTGAGAAATCTCAGACTTGGATCGTGTGAGTGGATAATTAATTACCAGTTAGTAGTGTAATTGATTATTGAAACTGTAAAGTAATTTGACTTGAAATTTTGTGTATCAATATTTGTTTTTTGGTTTTGTTAGTTGCTTAATAAACATTAGCCTTGACCGATAAACCACAGTCCAATAAATTAATCATTTATCAATTAAACATTTGCTAATGAACTAATTAAATATAAACACCTCCGGGATACAGCTAAGGGACGGATAGAAAATAAGCGTTATTTTGATCCATCCCGCTGTTTTCCCCGCTTACTAAGTCATCCCTGGACAGTTTTAATAATCCCACCCACATTCACTCAACCCGGTTTTGTTTATTGTGTGATCGCTTGTCTTCGACTAAGTCTAGTTTTCATTTTCCCTCGAGAAACTAAAAAATTTAGTAACATACGTCTCTTACTTCTCCGATCCCATTTTCCATTTTCCATACTGATCTCAAATAACGAGAATGAAAAGTAAATTTTAAATCGAATTACTCCTAGCAGTATCCCGGAGGAGTTTTTAACACAAAACGCCTCACGTTTTATATTAAAATAACCCCTAGCGCTACACACTCTGAATTGTTATCCGCTTATCCTTCGCGCCACGGGACAAATTGAAATATAATCCCTGTGTGTGCGGTACGGGCCTGATGTGTGTTATAAACTATAAATTGAATAAATAAATTCTAACATTTATTGCACGCTTCGATATTAAAATATACCCAACAAGAGGTACATTTAAGCGAGACTTCTTTATTACTTTATTAGTTCAGAATTTATGGACAAATAACTTATCTTCTCATTTCAGCTGGCGCTGACTACGTCGTGAGACTGTTGCCGGGAGAGGCCCCTTTTCAAGACACCCTACCTCCATCATATCACGATTCTATGATACCCGCTCGTCAGTAGCTTTATTAATGATAATTTGATTAACTTTTAATGAGAGCTGTTAATCATTTTAAATCTGTATTTGTAATTCATTAACATAACTGAATTTTACATGATATTTTTATGAGCTTTCAATAAATTGTGATATAATCTGATGATTTTCTTAACTTAACATAAGAGTATGTTAACATAAGAGTATGTTAAGTCTCTAACATAAGAGTATGTTAAGTCTTCTTATTCTTAAAATAAGAAGAATAAAATAAGAATAAAAAAGAATATTGTATCGAAATAGATTATGAATCACCATTCTAATACTTTTAAATGAATCTGTTTTGTTCAGCAGGGGAAGGACCGCCAGAGTATGAACCAGAAAGTAGCTTAGAAAGGTATGTCATTATACACAGTTACACATTTGAGTGTAAAGTCAGCTAGCGCGCTATATATAATATAACTCAATTCCAGTAATGTGTCACTGTTATTTCTGAAAATAGCGATTTTGATAAAGTATGTTTTGTAGCGCGCGGATCAAGAATTGTGATTGCACTAGCGCCAACGCACGTTCTTATTCGATCTATCGATCGATCGCGCGATCGATATATATATATATTAATTAACCCGTGTTTAGTTTACAATATTGCTATCAGAGACGTGTTATATTCATTACTATTTATATATTTTTACTGCTTGATTCAGAGAAATCTAGCTTTTTCCGAGAAACTAATCTTTAATAGATTAGATAAAATGTACGCAGCATTCTTTTCGTTTGATTATTACTCAGTATATTTTAGTTTTGTACCGTTTTAAGTCACATAGTTTTGTACGTCTTCCTAAGACTTGTTTTCCTTTCCTAGTTTGTAAGTTATTTTAAAGATTTGTGAATATTCCAGTTGCTTTTAGAACAATTTTATCTCAGATAACGATGTTTAATAAAATGATGCAAAGACTTATTTCGAAGATCTAATCAACACCGACTTTTAATGTGTAGGAGTACAGCTACAAAATATATATAGCACTTCTACACAGCACATCTGACACAACGTGGTGATTCTTCTACAATCAATCAGCTACAAGCTCGGTTATCGTCAGAATCCCCAGAGCCTTTACGCTCCGTTTGTCATCCGCCATCTGATTGTGAGATTTTAGAGTTTTATCAGCAACAATTTAATCATCACGATTCCCCCCGATGTCTAAACTGGACAACTTAGCTGTCAGATCAGTGAGGGCATCGTGTCAATTGAGATACTTACAGACTACGAGAGACAATGGTAATATCCCCAGAGGAATTGCTACTCAAATCAATTTTAAGTGTGCAGTTAAAGACCCATTTTATGTAGATTCATGTAATGCCCTCAACCAACGTCAGAAATCTAGAATGTTAGACTTAGTCATAGAGAACCAAGTTATCAGGTCTAAGAATTTACGTAAAAGTTTTTACAGCTTTAAAAACTGCATAAAATCTTCGCTCCCACCTTCAGATCATGATAATTTAGAGAGTCATTTATCCAATTTGATGCACATGGAGAGACTTGAACTAACAAAGCGTCATCATTCTAAGTTAAAGAGAGATACAGACTACGCCATTTACATTGCACCTTCATATGTGGACAATGCCAAACCTGTGAAGAAGAAAAGAAGGAGGAAGAGGAAAAAGGTCAACCGTACTTCGTCTCACAGACATCAGAGGACATTGATCAAAGGCACCCTTCCGAAGGTTGAAGACTTATCAATGGAAAACATGTCCAGAACAGTTGTTAACCTTACAGACAAGGAGCTCACCAAAGAGCAACTATATGTCTTCTTCTTGTCTCATAAGTTTGCACCTACACCTCCCCTACCAGATCTGAGTCGCTTCGAGAACGATTTGTGTACATGGTTTTCCAAAATGAGAGCCAAAGTTGTTTTTGATAGCTTCAAATGTGGACCCAACAAAGCAGATAAAAGAGTTACTGACATGGAGCGCTGCCTCATCAAGGCCGAATCATCACGTACTTTTGAATCATGTAAAAACCCTGCACTCGAGGCATTCATTAAATGCTGCAGAGCAGAAGTTGATCTCCACCGGCCAACTCAGAAGTATGTTTCACCAGACAACATCGCTGCACCTATCAGATCAGCTCTCAAAGAAGTGAAAGGATGGAAGGATGTGGTTATTAGACCTTTTGACAAAGGGGTAGGATTCTTTCTTCTTGGAGAGGAAGAATATATTCAACGAATAGGTGTACATTTGAATGATAGATCTGTATATAGTATTGTAAATAATGTAGATGATTTAGTTTCAGAATTAATTGATAAAATTTCATGTTGGACAGTCAAGTATAAAGAAGAATTAGGTATGTCTAAGAAGGTCAGGGAGTGGGTTATTCCGTGTACGGAGCTCAACCAGCCTGGTAATATGTACCTGAATCCCAAGGCCCACAAGCCACCTTTGTACCCTGGGAGGATGATTACTACTGGATGTGGTTCGTACATTGAGAACCTATCTGCCCTGACTGCATACGAATTGAAGAAGGCTATTTTAGATTATAGAATTATTGACACCCCTCATTTTTTGAGGAAGATTGATAGCTTGAATGAGTCCACCATATTGTTGGGTAAGGAGGTGATACATGTTGCCATAGATATATCCAACATGTTCACCAATATCCCCAGGGATATGGGGATCCAACAATGCACCAAGCACCTGAATGAAAGAAGTAGTTATGATCAATTGTTCAGTACAGAATGCATTATTAGTGCTCTAGAAATCACTCTTGATTACAACATAGCTTCGTTCAACGGTATAACATACCGTCAGGAGCGTGGAGCGGCGATGGGTCCTAAGAACTCATGTGAGTATGCAGATTGTGCAATGGATAAGATCGATATTTTAGTTAATGAAAGAGATTTAGAACATGGCCCGCCACACAGACCAGCATTCTGGGGTAGGTTGCGTGACGATATATACATGGCCTGGCCTGGTACTGTTGAGGAGCTTCTACAATTTATGGAATGGCTCAATAGTATCCATCCGGACCTTGTGTTTACTTACGACTACTCTAAGGATGGTGTTGAGTTTTTAGACACCTATGTCTATGCTGTTGGCGATGTTATTCATACCAAACTTTACTCTAAGCCCAGTGACACCCACTGCTATCTCATCCCCACCTCATGTCATAGGAGCCATGTTCTCAAAAACATACCCTATGGTGTGGCGAGGCGAGTGAGGCAGAACAATAGTAAAGACACTAATTTCTTAGAGCAAAGGGAGGTATATACTGGTTACCTTGTAGCCCGTGGTTACCATTCTAGTATTGTAGACGATGCTTTCAACAAATTTAGTGATATAACCAATAGGAAAAACTTGTATGCCCCTAAAAATAAGGATGAGACGACTACTTGTCTAATACCCATGGTGATGGATCAGAATCCAGCACTTCCCAACATGGGGAGCATTATTCACAAGTATAAGCACCTTCTTAATCTCGATCCAGCCTTGAAGAAGCTAGTACGTGCTGACAGTGTATTTGTAAGTCACCGAAAGAATCAAACTATCGGTGGCATGCTTGTACACAATAAGTATCGTGCTAGTGGAACTGTAAGCAGTGATAGAGATGGAGAAGCCACTGCTAGTCAATTTCTTGAACCAGACGCTGCAATATTGCCGGCTGTTCGGGAGGCTGACAACGCAGGGTGCCATGCCTGTGGAAAATGCTATGTTTGTAAGCAAAGTTTCCTGTCCCCTTGTTCCAAATTTAGTAGTCACCATTCTAAACAAGTTTTCCCTATTACTAAATATATAACTTGTCAGAGTAATAACCTTATTTATTTAATGGAGTGTAGAACTTGTAAACAGTCGTATGTAGGATATACTACTTCTAATCTCCCTAAGAGATTTTCTAATCATAAGAGCCACATTAAGAAAGGTATCAGAAGTTGTAAGTTAGTAAATCACTTTTTAGATATTGATCATGATTTAGATTTTAGTTCAGTAGCCTTATATAACTCTTCACTTAGTACGCACCTTTCTGTTATTATAGTGGACGCTCTTGAATTTAAACCTGAAATAAGTCAAGCAGATAGGGAAAAGGCCATGGAAGCTAGAGAGGGGTTCTACCAGACCCAATTGAAAACCCTTGAGCGTTATGGGGGTATGAACACCCTCGATAGTAACCACATCCTTTTTAAATCCGCTGGAGCTTAGTGTTTAGTTTATTTATTTTATTTGACATGATCTCAGCCTATTAACCCGTGTTTAGTTTACAATATTGCTATCAGAGACGTGTTATATTCATTACTATTTATATATTTTTACTGCTTGATTCAGAGAAATCTAGCTTTTTCCGAGAAACTAATCTTTAATAGATTAGATAAAATGTACGCAGCATTCTTTTCGTTTGATTATTACTCAGTATATTTTAGTTTTGTACCGTTTTAAGTCACATAGTTTTGTACGTCTTCCTAAGACTTGTTTTCCTTTCCTAGTTTGTAAGTTATTTTAAAGATTTGTGAATATTCCAGTTGCTTTTAGAACAATTTTATCTCAGATAACGATGTTTAATAAAATGATGCAAAGACTTATTTCGAAGATCTAATCAACACCGACTTTTAATGTGTAGGAGTACAGCTACAAAATATATATATATAAACTATTTTCACAACTACAATTAAATACATTTATTGAGGATGACTGTAAAGGTACATTTTACCGACATTTGAAGTCAAGGCGTTGTTTTACTGATAGTTGTGGCTAACTAATAATATATATATATATATATTATCATTACTAATAATCCCAAAATGTCTGTCTGTCTGTCTGTGTGTGTGTGTGTGTGTGTGTGTGTGTGTGGGAAATTTCCAAACGGTTTAATCAAGAAAACGGCAAGAGTTATGGGACTGGTTTGTCCGGTATAGTTTCGACAAATCTCTTACGAAGTCAATGTGCAAATTTTTTTTTAAATCGGCCGATGGTAAGTGGTTTAATTGATGGTTTTGTACTGCAAATGTGATATTGAAATGACTCACTTTTTGTCCCTCTCTCACTCTCTCTCCCCATTTACAGCTCCCCTAATTACTTAGTTCATAATTAGGTAATTTGGCAGTGGGGCCTATAAGTATTCCTACTGGAAACATATTACGTGATGGGCGCTCATTAATTAAATTTTCTCTAATGCAGTCGGTTTAACTGAGAGAGTTTTTACTTTTGCACAATTTAACTTTTGCACTATTTATGATTTTGCAATTGAACTGCGATAGTGAAGTCCCGGCCGTAGGCACAGGTTACACTAGTATAATATTATATTATATAGGCTTTTTGTTTGGATTTCTCCAGTCGCAAGAGTGCTCTAATGAATTTTATTTAGATCTAGCGAGATCAAGTTCAGGAATTAAATAACCTGTTCCGTTGTGACTCAATTTTGGAGCTGTGAAGCTCATGCGCTAAATTGTGATGTTAATCGCACTCACCTTTCTCAGTTCTCACCTTGATTACCAGTCTTGCTATTACACTTTTGTCAACAAGCTATTTTCAGATTATTAGACATTGCGGAGTGCTCAGGTTACATATCTCCTCACTCATCGAAAGAAACCCAAGACACTTGTTCAAGTAATGTTATGTCCGCGGATAGTCCCGGACCGTCGTTAGAAGGGTCGAAAATAGAATCAGATTTAGTGACTGTGGATCAGATTAATGGAGAAGAAATTGGATGACCAAATTCAGGAAGAGTTTTTATTTGAATATTTATTTTGGGTTTCGGTTTTTCTACATTCTAAGAGTAAGACGTGGAGATGGTTATCGTTTTTCAAGCCTTCTCGTTTCAGTAGCTTATTCATTCGGTTTTTGCAAATAAAAGTGACTTTCGGTCAAGAATAGACAAAACAACGAAATAAATATTTCAATTTGATCATGATGTACATTTTGGCGATTTAATATAAAATTGTTTTCATTTAATGGGCAGAAGAAAGTTCAAGAATTCTAGATTTATGGACTTCTGACTCTAACCAGGGTCAATTGCTTACAATTGCTTTATATTTGTTAGTCCAGTAACTGCAATAATCCCGTCGTCAGCACGGCTAGTCATGTTGGATGATGATTAATCACTACACTCGACTATCACGTGACCTACTTAACACGTTCTCTAAGTGCCCCTGTATGACTATTCAAAACCCTAACCCTTTACTCTGACCACAACCCTAACCCTAACCTAATCCATAAACTAGAGCATATGCTTAAACCCTAACCCGTACGAGAAATTATACCAACTTCCTTATTTAGTCATATCACGTGATCGTGACAGTTTCAGCATTTTAACCCTATTTCGTGTATATGTGGGGTGATCCGGAATCAGCGTTCAAAAAGACATCGATTATCAAGTTGGTCTCTATTCATAAATCATGAACTTCTATGATCTAGTGTAGAATAATTCAGCACGCTCCATTTATGTTGGGTAAACGTTCTCATTCTTGCGTTCAAATAAATATATTTGACTTGTATTTCAAGTGCTTTTTTGTTGAATTTTTAGTGGGGTAATATTTCGATGTTCTAACGTTTTCTAGTTTACTACGTTATAGTAAGGGGAAAAGTGGCATTCCGTTGGATTTGAATGTTCACAAGGATTTCTCAACGGAATATGGTAGTTAAGACCCCTACGAACATAATTAGACTTGTTGCCAATTTTGTATCTCAACAGAAACACCACTTTTACCACTTTTTACCACCTTTGTACCACCTGTCTGGTTTGCCAAATATCTTTAGTTGTGAACGTCGTAAAAGGCTGCAAATTAACCTATAATGTTTATCTTATCAAGGAGTAAAACTTTTGTGTGAAAAATTTTTACATTGGACAATCAGCTAATTGGATAATTACCAATTAGTTAATCACCAAAAAAAGTGAAAATTTTTTATTGGCTCAAAATGATTGAAATCGTTTGAAACACGGAGAAATGTAGTTTTTAGAAAAACTTCAAAAATTTTTCACTTAAAAATTTTTTTCGAGACTCGGAAAAAAGTTTGAAAATTTAAAAATATTTTTTTCCGCCAAAAGTGATCGAATTGCATGAAACGTGGATAAAAATGCTTTGCAGAAAAACTTCGAAGATTTTGAGATTGGGGAATACTAAAATTATCAATATTTGAAGTTGGAGTTCGGTAAATCTCGACATTTTAGTAATTAGGAATAGCTTAGCGGAAAGGGCTGAACCTGAAAAAGGTTAACCACACAATATTAGAGTTTCATAACTAATTACAATACAGCTTTTATTCCACAAATTCCACATAAAGAAACAGCACAAAAGGACCATTTAAGATCGAACCGATTTTACCTGCTGTACTATCATTTTATTGATTTCAATGATCAAAACCTCTGTACCGTCAATCTTGCCAATCTATACCGGGTATCTGAATGTACCGGACCTCTTATTTACCTCTATAATTAGACCCAGTTGTGCAAGAAATGCGATTTCTCACAGGGGTTTCTTTTAACTGTGCACTTTTTGTCACTCTCGCAACTCGCAAGAGGCCCGGTATTATAGGGGGGTATAGGAAGCGAGTGTAAATATACCTTCCATCATCCACTGTGGGTTTTTTGTATTGTGAATGCGCATGCCGCTTCGTTTGCTATGCCAGATACCTCGAATAACCCCCATATGTCATTGCCAGGGTCGGGATAGAGCTGGAGATAGCATTGAAAAGTTACTAGAAATAGCTAGATTTAGAGTAAACTGGTGGTAGCTGGGTGGTGCTAGCATGGATGTAGCAGAACGTAGCTACACGGGGTTTCATTGGAGTTGGTTATTTTAATGGCCAAAGAGTGCCGGAACTAAAGTTACTTAAGATTGTAGTTGAGGGGCAGTGTAAACCACGGTGTAGTCAGGGACACAGAGCTACAGTGCAGGAGTACTGCAAGTGCAAAAGAACAGTGCAAGTGATACAGTATGCAACATTAAAACGCCGAAGAAGGAGATAAGATTGTGGCTGCAGAGGAGGAGAGGAGCTGGAACCTGATTTTGTTTGGGTTGAAAGAAGAGTAGGAAGAAGAGTTTCCTGCTCTGGTAACTGCATTTTTGGAAGAGGTGGGGTGAGAACTTATTTTCAAGCGACAAGGGTGGGCTGGAAGCAACCAGGTACAGCTATCCGACCTATTAAGATCACCGTCCTGAGCTTAACAGCCTTTCATCAGAATCTGATGAAAACAGAGAGACTGACCCACCCTTTTTAGATTGATTGATCAAAGTGAGTCTCTTTAGCCCTATTCTTCTTTAGAGCTTTAGGTTAGTGATCAAACTCTTCGCTACTCGCTCTTCACTGGATCTATCAGGACAGATTCACATCTTTTTAGGTCTCAACCAGCCTTAGTTTTCCTGTTTTCATCATGTAGTACGTTCTGCTACCTCCATTTTAGCACCACCCAGCTTCCATCAGTTCACTCTAAGTCTAGCTTCGTCGGCGTTTTACTGTTGCAGACTGTATCACTTGCACTGTTCTATTGCACTTGCAGTACTCCTGCACTGTAGCTCTGTGTCCCTGACTACACCGTGGTTTACACTGCCCCTCAACTACAATCTTAAGTAACTTTAGTTCCGGCACTCTTTGGCCATTAAAATAACCAACTCCAATGAAACCCCGTGTAGCTACGTTCTGCTACATCCATGCTAGCACCACCCAGCTACCACCAGTTTACTCTAAATCTAGCTATTTCTAGTAACTTTTCAATGCTATCTCCAGCTCTACCCCGACCCTGGCAATGACATATGGGGGTTATTCGAGGTATCTGGCATAGCAAACGAAGCGGCATGCGCATTCACAATACAAAAAAGCCACAGTGGGGGCACAGTGAATGATGGAAGGTATATTTACACTCGCTTCCTATACCCCCCTATAATACCGGGCCTCTTGCGAGTTGCGAGAGTGACAAAAAGTGCACAGTTAAAAGAAACCCCTGTGAGAAATCGCATTTCTTGCACAACTGGGTCTAATTATAGAGGTAAATAAGAGGTCCGGTACATTCAGATACCCGGTATAGATTGGCAAGATTGACGGTACAGAGGTTTTGATCATTGAAATCAATAAAATGATAGTACAGCAGGTAAAATCGGTTCGATCTTAAATGGTCCTTTTGTGCTGTTTCTTTATGTGGAATTTGTGGAATAAAAGCTGTATTGTAATTAGTTATGAAACTCTAATATTGTGTGGTTAACCTTTTTCAGGTTCAGCCCTTTCCGCTAAGCTATTCCTAATTACTAAAATGTCGAGATTTACCGAACTCCAACTTCAAATATTGATAATTTTAGTATTCCCCAATCTCAAAATCTTCGAAGTTTTTCTGCAAAGCATTTTTATCCACGTTTCATGCAATTCGATCACTTTTGGCGGAATAAAAATATTTTTAAATTTTCAAACTTTTTTCCAAGTCTCGAAAAAAATTTTTAAGTGAAAAATTTTTGAAGTTTTTCTAAAAACTACATTTCTCCGTGTTTCAAACGATTTCAATCATTTTGAGCCAATAAAAAATTTTCAAATTTTTTGGTGATTAACTAATTGGTAATTATACAATTAGCTGATTGTCCAATGTAAAAATTTTTCACACAAAAGTTTTACTCCTTGATAAGATAAACATTTTAGGTTAATTTGCAGCCTTTTACGACGTTCACAACTAAAGATATTTGGCAAACCAGACAGGTGGTACAAAGGTGGTAAAAAGTGGTAAAAGTGGTGTTTCTGTTGAGATACAAAATTGGCAACAAGTCTAATTATGTTCGTAGGGGTCTTAACTACCATATTCCGTTGAGAAATCCTTGTGAACATTCAAATCCAACGGAACCCTTAAATCGACCACTTTTCCCCTTACTATTAGTTACAATTTCAAATTTAAGATCTTTCATTTTTATACGATTCCTTGATCCCTGTGACTATCATGATATCATAATATTATTATTAAGCTTTAGTTATTATTTAATGTTTAATGTTACATTTGATTTTGATGTTACATTAAACATCAGTTACCAATTTGTCACAAATTCATTTCCCTGTAAAATTTGTTCAAATTAATTCATAATTGATGTGAAGAAAATAGGAGTATATTTTTGATTTTGTAATTGGTGTCACACGCTGACGTGGGCACGCTGTAGAACTAGACCTGCCGCGCACGAGTGCACAGCAGCTGTATCGTGCCTTACTGCCTTAATACTAATAGCATTCGCTACGATACTAGTGAAACGACAAATACAATGGGGTCAATTAGTGAAACGACAATGGGGATTGGGGGTCACGACGTGATATTACTGGGCCGCGCTCAGCCTGTCATTCCGCCTTATTTTATTATATGTCAATGAACATAATAGAACTCTTACTAATTCGCTCGCCCAAAAATTTCACGTGACTTTGGTTTTTTATGGTTTTGCAGCCGTACAAAACGGTTTTACATAAACCCTAATCCCAACCCTAACCCTAACCATAACCCCGAAGCTAACCATAACCCTTACCACAACCTTAACCCTAACCCGGGCCCTAAACAATCGAATTCGCATTTTACTAGCCTGTCACGTGACCAAAACGGTTTTTTGCCCATAACTCTCCAGGGAAACATTTTAACCCTACGTCATGGGGGATGATTCGGAATCAGCGTCCAAAAATACACCGATCTAGATCACTTTCATGCCCAAAGGGCCTTTTCACAAGAATTTTCTTAAAATTTGGGCGAGCGATTTAGTAGGAGCGACATAATAGCCTGGGGTCCCCAGGTAAGACGTGATACAAATTTTGTGTAGGTTTATGACCTACCAAGACGCGCGCCAAGTTAATTTAAAAAAGTTAGGGTTAGCAGTTAGGGTTTTAAGATATGATCGAGTTAGGTTGGGGTCAAAGTGACAAAGTACTAGTAGAGGGTTATTTCGAATAACCCTGTTAAAAATCACGTTACAGTCGAGTGTACAGTGATAAAAGTTAAAACGGGTTTTTTTCATTTTTGAAGAAATAAAATACTGTTTTGATAAACGTTCTCTGTCAATAAATACTATATCGATACGCACATTGCAAATGTAACATCAAGACAAAATGTGTTTACCACCAACATAATTTGAAAGTGTCTCCGCTGACTGTAGCCTAAGGAATTTCTTACATTTATGATTTACCATGGAATGATCGTGAAAATACATTGAAATCTGAAACCTCCAAAAATTTAGAATATCGTTTCTCAGTCAGAGACATTTTTGATGCACCCCTAATATGGGGTAAATAATACACACCTGAAACAATCACAAAATTCGAGTTAAAACTGCTCGAATTATCAGAAAAGACATTTGTTAGATGGTAAGATTATCTGTTCCTCACAATAAGCCCAAAGATCAAGATAAATGTAAACAATCCAGTCTTGTCACAAGTTAAATATACATTAAAACACAAATCAAAACACACGAAAAACAGCAGCAGCAATTAAACTTATATTTTGTTAGTCTTCAGTTCAAGAAACGTAAATGTTTCATTGATTCACCCAGCGATTAATCCCTCAGGGTTAACGTTCAGCTAGATGGGAAGATCTCAACCAGTGACCAATCTTTGATCTTAAGGGGGAGGGGGAGGGGGTTCCAACTTTTTGTGAAACTTGTTGATCAACAAACTATAAATTTGTCAAAATCTGGGTTTTGGGTATGTTGAGGTGATTTGGCATAATTCCTAATTCATAATTGAGCCAAAAAGGCCGGACTAAATATGGGCATGGTTGCACCGCGACTGCGAGCATATTTAGTGGGGATCAGGTTCTAGTTTGTTGGTCAACACAAACAATTCAGGCAGGACCCCCTCCCCCCACTTAAGACGCCTGACACGGTCTGTCCCTTAATTTAAGACACGGTCTGCCCCCTGGCCTCAATGACAATATCAGGACACAAGTAAGAAATTCCCATATTCCCAATAAGCCCCGCGCGCATCCCAAGCTTAAAGCGTAGTCATTTCTAGTTACAATTTGCCAGAGATCTGATACATGAACATTATTCTTTCTCTTATAGTCCATCACCTCCTGCAAGCACACCGGCTAAATTTAGAGCATTTGGAGTAAGGTTGATATCTGCCGTGAACTTTGGTGAAGCCCCTGTTCTTATCACAGTTCACACAGGTAGGGTTGAGCGGCTGGAGCATGGCCGTGGCCGGGGTTAGTGCCTCAAGGTCATTCACGTGGGATTTGAGGTGCTTGTAGAGGTCGTCCTTGTCCATGAACTGTCGGTTGCAGGGCCCGACGTGTGACATCCAGTAGCAGTTGTACGAGCGACGTTGGCCCGATAGGTTGGAGCTACCGCTACTCCAGTTTACTGAGGAAGTGTTAGATTTACAATATTTGAATATTAAACCGGTATGAGAATTAGATAAACGTGTCTGCTTCTACTGCACACCATGGTCCATGACATATACTTAATTTGCACACGATCACAACACATTTCAAGACCATATTACACGTTCATTGTATTATCATAAGTTTAGTACAACTGATTGTTCACTAGAACTCCTCGTTCGATCAGATCAATCAACTTAACTGTGTATTGGAGGATTTTTGCAGCCTTTAAATTCTATATCAATTATGAAGGCGGGAATCTGTGTCCAAAATTTATTTAAAGATACAGATTGAGACAGCCTTGAACCGACTTCCTAAGCTGTGGACCCAAATAATAAATTACTCCTTGAAAATAAAATCGTTCCAATTTATCCACCCTGACGGCCATCTAGTTTCGGATCAATTTCATGTCTGATACTTCAAGATCCTCACCATTGATTGCCAGGTAATTTCTTCTAATTAATCACGGCGCGTCGGTTTAAGTTTACTTTCCCTACATTACATAAACTAGCCCAGTCTCAGTCCTCACGGAGGACGAACATAATGACAAGGGTTTGGTAGGAGACTCAAACAGTTGATGTTACACCAAGGTCGAGACCACAAAGAGTGACTACTAATTCATAAACTGCAATTTGTAAAACTGTCTGAAAGTATAAATAAATAATCTCTTGAGCGAGGTATGATGGCTAGACATGATGGACCGAGTAACGCGTCTTAAAAATCATGCGGAGTATGAGACTAGTATGAGTGGAATGTTGGTGGCTGAAGTTCAAAGCACAGAGAGTTTGAAACAGCATAAATAGGCTGGGTAGGCTGAGATAGTCTATAAATAGGCTAGAAAGTAGAAAGGAAAGGTTGGTTCAACAAATGAAGGAACCGTCACGGAACCGTCAAATGCATCGTTTCATGTCCCTTGGAACGTCCGATTTTAAAGTTTTATTCGACCTGATTCACCCCATTTAATGCTAAATTTCACTCACGCTTGGCTGGATCTATCAGACTAAAGTACACACTAGCACAATACTATTGAAAGTTTGACCGAAAGTAGCGAGATTGCAACAGCACAGAACGGCCAGATCTAGACCTCTAGGACAGACCAAGAAAATAGACCAACAACTCGGTCCACTGTAATGGTAAATGACTTTGGTGTAAAAGTTTCAGTATAACTGAGAGATCGGGCAAAGCATCGTTTATAAGACATGGCGGGTGTTACTGTAACAATTACATCCTTAGTCCGGGATAGGTACAGTCGCGTGGCAGTGTAGTGGTCAGTGGAAGTGTAGTGGTCAAGTACCATTCACAGTTTCATGCTGGTGATGATGTTGGGATTGTACCGCGTACGTGATTATCAGAGCCTATTATTGAGCTGGTAATTACGGAGATCTAATTGGAATATGATAAATGTCTTGTTTGTTGGAGACAAGTGTATCCATTTTACCCCTGTTCTAATTCTAAAATTTTCAAATAACCCTGTTCTGCTTCTAGTTTTAACACTAAAAGTTTCAAATAGACATTGTTAGCAACAATATAACTTATAAGCAATATAAAAAATCTGAATAAAATTGTAAGTATCTTACTGTTTGTCAGAGTGGAAGTGACAGAGGATGTTTCTCCTTTGCCGCTCAGACAAAATTTCTGCAGCTTGTTTTCCAGGCTGAAATAAAATTGTTTTATTTAATAGAGAAATCAAATCTGAAGGTTTATCCAATTTCACAAAAACACACGAAAAATGTTCTCTAATCTCTGTGGAATTCCTGGAAGGAATATCGTTAGTGCTCATCATCATTTCGATAGCATAGTAAATACAAGAAGAATAGAACATCTGCAACCACGCAAACTAATCTAATCTAATCTAATTAGATTTTAATTATTAAATCTAATTAGCCAGCAGTCACACACACCTGATAGAAGTTTTGTAAGGATTGAGAAGGTTAAGTATGGAGGTATCACAGGGATGAAGTTTGGACAGGCTTGTTGTTGTGCTGCTGGTGCACGTTTTGTTTGGAGGAGGTCCATTACTAGCGCCTCCCCAGTGAACCTGAGGTTGGGTTTCTTATTAATTAACTGATAATTAACTTGTTAATTAACTGATAATAATCCTTAATTTCATAGTTATGAGACTGGCAGTGCTGACGGAGCCTGGTCAGCACTAGCGCGCCGGTTTCTGTGGATACTGGTTTTCTAAAAGAGAGGACTCACAAGAATATGGTCACGCCATGATTTCCATTTTGCTGGACTGGCGGTTACATTAAACTTGAGCTAAAGCTCTCATGCGCCGAAACATCCTATTCTGTACTCACTACTCGTGTCGATGGTTTAATCGTTCACTTTACAATTTCTTTTAAGGCTAGACGATCCTGGTTTCTAGTAAAATATGCGACCTCCACGACTTTGTGCTATATTATATACTGCACCACAAAATGGAAGTGATCGAGTGCGTCGCAAGTGCACTTGAAGTACTGAGGTAAGTAGTTGCACCAGCAGTAGCACCCAGTAAAGTCCTAATGTCACGTGATACTTTATAGACACGTGACATGTCACGTGATACTATAGCTGTATAGAGCTAGTTCAAATAATGGAGGATTGTCTAAGTCTGGCTATTTAGCCACCCCGACTATATCATTACCCATCATTATATCATGTAGTGAGCATGAAGACCACGTCCTGTAAAAAGTACGAGAATATTATGTACGTTTTCTAACGCGAGAACTACACTACTAGTTCAGGGGCGAGTCTGGTAAAATAGGAGATCGTTTAACGCTGTGCTCTACTGGACAGTGGACACAGTCGGTCCTATCTAGTGAGGTCGTCTAGACAAACCCCCGTGGTTTCATTGAGCAGGGGACGATGTTTTAATAGTTTCACTGTTCCTGCATTTTTATTAAATTTAGCTGACGTGGTATTGGGAACGTCTGGGCGACGTTTTATGTTACGGACAAAAATGGTTATAAAGTTTATCTTAAACGTGTGGTCGTCATGATTGTTTCAGTTTGACCAGAATTCTGAATAATCGACATAGTGTCCTCAATAAGAGGGTCCAGGATAACTATTACACTACATTGCCATTAGATACTGTATTAGATACTGTCCTCACTCGAGTGAAACGAAACAACAACTTAGATTTCAACGGACTATATTATAGGGGTGTCCGGTTTTGAAGCTGCTTAGCTTGATATCAATCAGAAATTTCAAAACCTTTCAGAAAATTTATATGACCATTGAAAATTTGATGCCGGGTCCTTATGTTTGGATGCCGGGTCCGAATCAGATATCGGGTAAATATGTTACATGCTGGGTCCAATAGCAGTCGATGTCGGAAATTTCAAAACTTTTCAGAAAAATTTAATATTATCTTTCGAATTACCAGAGCTCGAAAATTTGCCAAAACATTGATCACGTAATATGTGAACGACCCCATAGTCAAATGGAAGTGATTACCAGTAATAATAAGTAAACGTGAATAGCAAGAACTTACTGTCGAAGTGAGCGGAGTGCCAGGAGGAGAAGATTTTGATGTTACTGGTCGAAATGATGCTTTCAGATTTCCCGGACTCTTAGGCTCCTCTTTCACGCTTGTAGGTGCTGAAACTTTATTGTATTACTATTTATTGCAAAAGAATTTGCTTTGTTCTACTAAAATAATAAATATACCACTTAAACAATATAAAGATATTCATAGCGACGAGACTTTCATTTCTCTTGTAACCTCCTGAGTTGTAACTATACAATCCCAATTATTCTATAGGTCGTGCAGCGAACAATATCTGGTAAGATGACTGATGTCTTGACTAAGACGCCAACTTATGTAGGATTTTAAAATTAGAATTTATAAAATTAGGGTACTTAAAATTGGGAGATTCGATTGCTCCACCACTCTCTAGAATGAAAACGTAATAAGTCATTAATAATTTCCAGAAGGAAGGCTGAAGGATGGGAAGCGAGAATCGACCATCGACCATCGTCGGGTTCCCTAATCAGTAGACAAAAAAGATAACTCCCAAAACCTATTAAATTTATGACAGCTATTGATATATACTATTTATATTGTTCCTCGTAATTCGAGACAATAGCGATGTTAAGGTTGATTGATTGGCTTGGTAATAGCTGAGACGGTTGAGTGATCATCCCATCTCGATATCCCAGGACCCAGTCTCAAACTCTCACGAGTAGCATTTATCAAAAGCTCCCCAATTATATTATCCCAAAATTCAACTGGTTCATGAAACCTCTCCAACAAATGCCTGACCATAATTTGAGTTGAATAGGTCCTGATTGCTCTATTCATAAGTCTGTAGACTGGAGCGGTATAATAGTGGTATTTCAGGTCCGTGTCATGGTATGTTCACACTGTATTGATCAGAACAATGTCTTATTCTGTGTCACGTGACACTAACAAATTATGATATGAATATTTTAAATGGTTGAGGATTTCTTTTATTTGTGCTAGATTACGGTCCACGAATAGGCTAAACCAAAGGGATGAGGTTAATTTTGAAAGGGAAAAAGTCTTCATAACATGAAACATATTGCAATACTGCCGATAGATCTGGTAACTTGTTGACTACAAACCTATCTGCATCATATACAGACAACTTCTCCTCAAAAGTTTAGTTCCCTTTTATAATCATTAGAATTCTAAGCAGCTGCCATCATGCATATCCACTAATTATCCACTAATTATCCACTAATTATCCATTAATACTATCCAGGTCTGAAATTAACAAATGACTGATATCTAATCCCTGTTTACCGTCTCTCCTCTATACAAGCTAGCAGCCATACCCCAGAGGCAGGCATAGCATGCACTTGCTATCCTCTCGTGGGCCACCGCGGCCCAGCCTCTCTTAAAAAACTCCCTGTTATGCGCTGTTATGCACTGTTATGCCCTGTTATGCGCTGTAAGTTACAGCTGTAAGCAGGTCGAACAGTAGCAGTCCTCCGGCTTCCTCTCACTTATTTCCTTGTTAATTACACGTGTCCTCGACTTTAATCACACCTCTTCAGTTTCGCCGGAAATTATCATAATTTAAACCCCCTCCTGGCTGTCATTAACATCAAGTCTGAAGTCTCAGTAGCAGGGCATATAATTTGTGAGAGTCAGTCTGTGCTAATAGTTTACTTTTAACTTGAATCAGAACGTGGCGAAAATTAAAACTCACAAGTCTCAAAATGTTACGATTTCTTTGATTTGGGGAGGGAAAACACGAGATGATAGAATTAAGCTCTAGATGACGTCGTATTTACAGAATATCGGGATACAACTCACCAGGTGACAGTAATATGTGACGGGGAGACAGCTGATACAGTTGATGACTGAACTAAACGTGTTTCACTCGCTCGTGCAGGTTCAGGTGCAGGTTCAGGTGCAGGTTCAGGTGCAGGTTCAGGTGCAGGTTCAGGTGCAGGTTCAGGTGCAGGTTCAGGTGCAGGTTCAGGTGCAGGTTCAGGTGCAGGTTCAGGTGCAGGTTCAGGTGTAGGTTCAGGTGCAGGTTCAGGTGCAGGTTCAGGTGTAGGTTCAGGTGCAGGTTCAGGTGTAGGTTCAGGGGCAGGTTCAGGTGCATTTTATGAATCAAGGTATGATTTTCAAAGGGAAACGTGCAGGAAGATGGTTATAAGATCATCATCATAACGTGGCTGAGTAATGTTTTAGTGAAACAGGTGAATGATAATTGATCAATACAATGATATATTTTCACCGCTAATCTTCCCTGCAGAGCACGCAACCTAATCCACTTTTTACACTACTATTATTCACATTGGATCATATAAACTGCTCCCTCACTTATATTATGATAGCGCTGGATGAGAGAAGATACAGTAAATTGTAGTAAGGTGGCGGATGGAGATCTAAAACATCAGACCATCCCCACTGTGGACAAGGTCTAGACTGATTTGTCAAGAGATAGCTCTCCGAGCTTAACAGTGAAATAATCCGAGTTGGATCTGGCTAGACTGCAACAGCTGAACAAGGGGTCACGTGATCGGGATTGGAGGGTGGGGATTGGATGTGAGCTGTGTTAAGACGGTCACGTGGAGAGGTCTGGGGTGGGTGATTGGAGGGGGTTAGTTTTAGGATAATCACGGGTTCAAAACATCTGATGGCTGAACTTAAGATGATATAACAGTTTACATTAAGGATCTCTCAAACACACACACACACACAATCGTACATTGTTCACAATCCATATGGCCGCTTGTTCTCTGAATGGTGGAATACAAGTGGAGAGACAAGAACTCGTGGTGAATAGGATGATGGCGATATTGTTACCGAACAGCAGGTTTATTCCAGCACAAGGATATGACGGCGGGTTTATTCTTCGAGCACGAGGTCATGTCGGCGGGTTTATTCTTCGAGCAAAAGGATATGACGGCGGGTTTATTCTTCGAGTACGAGGTCATGACGGCGGGTTTATTCTTCGAGCACTAGGTCATGACGGCGGGTTTATTCTTCGAGCACTAGGATATGACGGCGGGTTTATTCTTCGAACACAAGGTCATAAAAGTGCGTTCATTCTTTGAGCACGAGGTCATGACAGCGGGTTTATTGTTCGAGCACGAGGTCATGACGGCGGGTTTATTCTTCGAGCACTAGGTCATGACGTCGGATTTATTCTTCGAGCACGAGGTCATGACGGCGGGTTTATTCTTCAAGCACTTGGTCATGACGTCGGATTCATTCTTCGAGTACGAGGTCATGACGACGGGTTTATTCTTCGAGCACTAGGTCATGACGACGGGTTTATTCTTCGAACACAAGGTCATAAAAGCGCGTTCATTCTTTGAGCACGAGGTCATGACGTTGGGTTATTCTTCGAGTAAGAGGTCATGACGACGGGTTATTCTTCGAGTACTAGGTCATGACGGCGGGTTTATTCTTCGAATACAAGGTCATAAAAGCGCGTTCATTCTTTGAGCACGAGGTCATGACGTTGGGTTATTTTTCGAGTACTAGGTCATGACGGCGGGTTTATTCTTCGAGTACTAGGTCATGACGACGGGTTATTCTTCGAGTACTAGGTCATGACGACGGGTTATTCTTCGAGTACTAGGTCATGACGGCGGGTTTATTCTTCGAGTACTAGGTCATGACGGCGGGTTTATTCTTCGAGTACTAGGTCATGACGACGGGTTATTCTTCGAGTAAGAGGTCATGACGGCGGGTTTATTCTTCGAGTACTAGGTCATGACGACGGGTTATTCTTCGAGTAAGAGGTCATGACGTCGGATTCATTCTTCGAGTACTAGGTCATGACGACGGGTTATTCTTCGAGTACTAGGTCATGACGGCGGGTTTATTCTTCGAGTACTAGGTCATGACGACGGGTTATTCTTCGAGTAAGAGGTCATGACGGCGGGTTTATTCTTCGAGTACTAGGTCATGACGACGGGTTATTCTTCGAGTAAGAGGTCATGACGTCGGATTCATTCTTCGAGTACTAGGTCATGACGACGGGTTATTCTTCGAGTAAGAGGTCATGACGACGGGTTATTCTTCGAGTACTAGGTTATGACGACGGGTTTATTCTTCGAGTACTAGGTTATGACGACGGGTTATTCTTCGAGTAAGAGGTCATGACGACGGGTTATTCTTCGAGTAAGAGGTCATGACGACGGGTTATTCTTCGAGTACGAGGTCATGACTGTTATCAATATCATCACTAAACTTCCCGGACAAGCTCTTTCTGCGTTATCCGCGTCGTCGTCCTCTTGGAAGTTTTATCGCCTTTACTCACTCTGATCGGCGGCAAAGACTGGTTTATATGGTTTTTACCAGTGACTGTTATACTGTTATGATGTCCGATATATATATATATATACATATACATCACCCAGACGTCTGGAATATCCCACTATTACAGCTAAATCCTACAATTATATCCTACAGGAGGCGGTAGTGCAGTAGTCGCGCCTCAATTATAAACACCCAGTTCTCTCAAGCTAATGCCTTATCAGGATTGATGTTCGTCCGGGGGGATGTTGTCGGAGAGATGGGATTATTGCTCTTAGAGTTAATATTTATCGGCGAGACGGTTGGTTGTGGGGCAATTACGGGATCAAAAAGGCGAACCCTGACAGAATTATGAAGAACTTATTTCAGGGTCTTAGCACTGATATCTTAGTAAATACTTAGTAATTTGGGGTTATTGCGTGAATGAAAGTGATATTTAATACTCTTAAGTGTCAGAATTCGGAAATGCTCCAATTCCTACCAATTCCAAGTCTAATATGTATTTGAATCACCGTAAATGGACCTGCAAAAGACCGTACCAACATTCCAATGTGTTCTACAACAGTACAAGCACTGGTATATGTCGTACACACAATTGTGTAATTTTATTCTCAATGAATAGAATCGCAACTCGAGGGTCAAAAACATATTTCAATTATTATCTGAAATTATCAGGACCAATGCAGCTCCGAATAACTTAAGTCGAGGTAAATTATAGGTTTGAAGAGACAATCAATCGAACTTTGTTTTATGTGATAAAATTTATTTACAAAAAGTTAAAGTAAGAGCTGTGGAGTGTGAAAGATACCATGTATGTCATATGTGTATATGGGTGTTTATTGTTTATGTGTATTTATGTTAATATGTATGTATGTAAATGTGTATTGTGTATGTACAATCTATGTATGAATGTGTTTTTGTACGTGAGTTTTATCACGCGCGTAATCTCCATTATCTAAATATTCCTCCTATTCTCAGACAACACATGATAAACATGTCTCTGACACGCATTACGTTCTCTCACATTGGTCTAGACTGCCTCTCACTAGTCCACTCTGCTGCAATAAGTGTCAATATCCCTTACCTCCCTCTTCATTACACAGTTCGAGACAACTCTCACAACGCACGTGGTCCTCTCGGTCACGTGATCTTATTTGACGAGATCACATGACATGTCTACACACGTGGGTTACTACTCTCCCAGTGTGTGTGTACCAGGGATGTCGTCACATATTTCCCATTCATCTAACCCGCGTCACCCAAACCACTTGCTCAAACTCCCTCCCTACCCCGCCCGCCGAGTCCCGACAGATTGGTGTGCAAACTCCCTCCTGCCTCGCTCCCCGACAGATTGGCATGGCTCGTTTTTAATTGATAGACCAAGGGGTCTAAGAGAGGTATTAATCAAGTACCTACGTCCCCCGGGCGGACTGTTATACCTTTAGAAATGGTATTCGAGGTGCCAGTGGCATTAGTCTGACCAGTCTACAGTTAAAGGCCTAGCCTTGGTCCTTGGCCTCCTATTAGCCGTCTCCATAACAGTGGCTGGACGGTATAATTCGGCCCTTAGTTTCGTATCACGGGGGGAAATGTTGTCCGCCATAACAAGGTAAAATTCCCGATGTGCAGTTAAGTAGTCCGGAAATAATTTCCGTGTATAATCCCCGGAAATAACGTGGCATTCTTGTCGGCATTTCAAGTGTAATTCTCTTGACATGACATCGGAATTTCAAGTTCAATGCAGATCAGTAAGAATCCTGAGTTTCGTTAGAATCCGTCTGAAGTGTGCGAGTATCGAGGTGAAAGGGGGACATTGCCTGTCAAACATTAGACGGACCGGAAGTAGCAGTCGAAGAAACGGATAACTGCCGTCTTGTTACGTCACACACCAGTCTATCCCGCTACAATAGTGAGTCAGACTGTTTTCAAATAGTCAGATAGAAGACAAGTTTACCAGTCTGTTTTGCGGAGGAGATTGTGACCACCCAACTAGCTTGAATAGTCAGACTGCGTTGGAATGACGCTCCAGCCTGCATTTGCCACCCGTACTCGCAATTCTAGTCAGCTACTATTGACGGCTTGTGCAGTGATCCCAATAATACGAGACTGAGTAAAAGGGAGAGAGAGAGAGAGAGAGAGAAAGAGAGAGAAAGAGAGAGAGAGAGAGAGAGAGAGATAAAGAGATAGAGAGATAGAGAGAGATAGAGAGAGAGAGAGAGAGAGAGAGAGAGAGAGAGAGAGAGAGAGAGAGAGAGAGAGAGAGGGGGAGAGAATATTGTGTGGATCTCGTGCTATATTGATGGAACGCACTAAGCACTGTGGTCTAGCCATGCGATGGTTGAATTTGGAGTGAATGGTTCGCTAGTTCTACTCGGCCAGCTATCCGCCACAGCCCTTCTAAGAGTCTTATAGTACATATAATAAAATATAATACAATCTATGATGTGTCTGACGTATAGGTCTGATATCTACAACTTAATTTTAGACGGCCATTAAAAACTGAAATTAAACATAGTATGATCCCTAACAAATGGTAGATAAAGATTAATAAATAATAATATAAAGAGGTATAACTTACATGTGCTGCCAGCACGACAGGGAGAGGTTCCATGACCATCTGATAGCAGGGTGGGAATAAGGTCGGAGTTATGCTCGGAGGATAGTTTGGGTGGGGAGAGGCAGTTCCTTTCAGGAGAACTTGCTGAGGTTACGGCTGCTGAAGGATTGGCGCTTTTTAGTTTTAAGGGGGCTTGGGAAGGAAATTATATACGATAAGGGCAAAATCACAATGAGATTTGTGTGTTTTTTACAGTGCTGCCAGAGTTTTACTCGAATGCTACTAGAGTAGCACTCACGCAGCACTGTATTACTCCAGTATAGAAGCTTCCTGAGTGGTTACCTGCAGAAGATTGAGCTGAAGTAGTAGGTCTAGTAGGTGAGGGTAGGTTGACATGACCGGAGAGGGAGGATGGTGAGAGGTCTATGGAAGGAGGAGGGAAATGTGCAGCTAAACACTCTAGTAAACCCTGAGAAACAGTTAGTTTTATAACGTTCAAGCTGCGATCTTTGGCTTATATTTTATGAAGTGCTTGTCATCATTTATGTAATAAGTCACTTAAGCTTCACATATATGATCACCCAGCAATCGCAGACAAGAAAATTCAATTTTTGAGAAATATTCCAAAGCTCGACAATTTGGCAGTTGAGATAGCTGTCAGTGTCGCGCCACGTCTTGTATCCGAGGAAATGCCAAAAAATGTGAAAAGTAAAATTCGTCTTGTACGTAATTGTCGGGTTATATTCTGATGCGATACCTGTTGCTTGAGAAAGTCAGCTGAAGCAAGAATATCGTTAACGGCGATATCTGGGGCAGAAGGTTCGGGAACTTTGTTGAGAGCTCCGGCTGCCGCTAACAGAACCAATTGTGAGTTAACGTTAGTCAGCGTATCTTCCGGCTATAAGGAGAATGGATGATAAAGTTATGAAATAAGTTAGGAGACAATAGCAGCCGCCCCCTGGCATTTGACTCTCGAAGAATTTGCATCACCAAATAAATTTCTAAATTTCACAAACCATGAATGTTAGTGACCAGTGTGTTATTATTTATTTGTAGGATTATTTGGATTTACAGCTCTAGATATCAGAAAAAAGGTTCTAACACAGTCTCAATTTCTAAAAATAGAGACACCCCACCAGGGCTCCGCCCATGGACCCCAACGGGGGCAGAGCCCCCAGACCCCTGCAGTAGGAACAATTGATAACGGCTATTTCTCTCTTCAAAGAAGAATAATTAATGCATGTCATGATTTGACAATAAAAACTTGGTCTGGAGGGGGATTTGTTTTAAAACATATAAGAGATACGAAAAGTTTGTTTTAGCAGAAGCTTTCAAAATACATGTGTAAATCAGCTGTTAAAAACTTGGTGTTGATTTTCTGGAGTAAAACTGTTAGGTTTACAAAACGGCAGATCATAGGCAACCATTTAGACTTTTGAACCAATTAATTAATTAATTAATTACGGAGGGAGTAAATTGGAAGCCATAAATTGATAATATGAAACAGGATCTGACACACAAAAGTTATTAAAATATTAATGCCTTGTAACGCAGTGATCAGTATTACACGCAGCTTTATCTTTTATCTTCTTAGGTTGATTAAATTTCAAGCCATTCAAGTCTACTCAAGTTTACGGCAGATCTCATTCCACTTTTTGCCGCGTAGTGATCACCATGATTTGGCCACTAATGAATGGTTGCAATATCATTCAACTTATATTACAAGTCTAGTAAACTTATATTTAAATATTAGTTTACTTATATAACAAGATTAGTTAGCTTATCGCACGAACAGTCTACAACTTAATGTACCTTGACAGCTATTAAACCCGTGCTGAATCCAATAAAAACGATGAGAATTATTTGCTTATCAAATTTGATAGAAATCTGGCGGCATAGAATGTACACCAATGTACATTGTACACCACAATGTACACCACAATGTACACCACAACTTTCTCAAGATTTTTTCTCACATCTTAAAGAGGCAGGCACCCCTACAGATGTTGAACTCCCGCTCCATCAAAATACACCACTAGCAATTCTGATTAACAGGGTGGTTTAATTTGCCGATCTCAATTAGCTAATGCAGTACTGAGTTGTAGATCATGCGGGCTGCTCCAACCCCGGCGAGACTCGTTTGACAAAACCTGGCAGACATTGCCATGTCACGTGATCCCCTCGCTCTCCCATTGGAGGGTTGAAATAGTACTCGAGTCCTGATTGGGCGAGCCGAAGTCTTTCAGTTGCAGGCTCGTCTCGTTTGGAGATATTGGTTTTAAGGACGGTTAGTCACGTAGCCTGTCTCGGCAGTAACAGGCGAGTTATTCCCCCAATGTGTCAGATATAGATGATAGGGGGATATATACACCATTTTACAGAGAACTTTCGCAGCAGTTGGTGGGGAAATGTCTCGGGTAGTCTTGTTGAAGATATTGGAGATATCTATGATGACCACTATAATATATCCATCACACGCGAAAATAAAATAGAACGTTGAGACGATTGAATGTGCAGACGGCACTAATGTTCTCTCAGCCGCCAAGCTCTTTATTGAAGGAGCCTTCTACTTGATCAACTCTTTTGATTGCGAAGATATAAACACTGTCTGGGAGTTATAAACGCTGTCTGGGGCTTACGAATGAAGTGTCTGAAGAACTTGTAAATGTTTTCGCCGATTCAAACTTCAAAACTCCTGTTTAGAATCAGACTATCAATACTCAGGATGTTGTCGTGCTTCATCGGTTCCTAATTACATAAAAAGAACCGAAAAGAAAGAACTGTCTTTGGGCATGATTTATGAAGAGGTTATCGAGCTGGAAGAAGAAAATGTTCAATTATATTCCTTTGCTTATAACAAACCCCGAAACACCATCCAAGGAACAAGCACTCCTGCCAGGATGAATCTATTTTATAAAAGTTACTCCTCGACCTCTGAAAAAAGTAAAATCTTCTGTCAGGGCACCCCCAATCTCTGACAGCAGGACTGGTGTGAACTCTCACCCGCACTTAAAAAGTAAAATCAGGGCACAGCAGTAGTCGAGACAACATCGTCGCCATATATCACTTACTCAACCCGTTCAAAAATGACCAAAACCGATCAGCATAAATGGGCCGGAGGAAAAGGGTTGCGGAAAGTGCCTTTTTGGAGGATCCTCATGCTTACAGTACGAGATAATGGGGAGATGGTGCCGAGTAGTTTATTGGACTTTCTGAGCACTTATGTTGTCGGCGGTATCGGTGGATTTTGTGGCTGGAATTTAAATTTTATACGACATCAACTGGACGAGGACCTGATGACTTAGTCCTGGTCACGTCCATGGTCACGTACTTATTTAGAAAATCAATTCGTTGGAGGGCAGACTAAAAAACTCATCACGATATAGCTGGCTCTGACTTACTCCTACCACTTAAAAGGATTTAGATTCAAAGTCCTGTTTTAGCGAAACGACTGATAACTTCAATGGGCAATTTATTAAGTCCGATTTTGGCAATGCTACACGTGTCAAAACCTCTTTCAATAAACAATTGTTAAGTTCCAATAAATGTATACCACACGTGATGTAACAAGTGTTACTCCCAGACCTCACGATAGCTGATAGACGAACCAGTGACAACGCACACTTTTGTACTTCGCAGCCTTCATAAGACCCTCTTATATTATATCACCTTGCTTTTTGTGCCGTGTGGCTGATATGCAGCCGATAAAACGATGACGATAAGCATGAAGACGATAATATCGGACACGGTAGCCCAAACCTCCACCAGCAGTAATGTTAAGTCGCCATTATTGGTATTATATCGCCCTCCGGCGGCCACCGGGTAACACCTTTTTTTGGTTTCTCCTTTACGCGTCATGGATTTTGATAAATGTGCCTTGTCGCGGATAACAAGAAGCCCCGGCTGTGTGGCATATGGCGGGGGTTAGCCCGGGAAATCTATATTTATATATTCCATTGTCTGGCGAAAGGGGGTATGTGTATTTATTCACGACTCGATTAATTGACCAGTAAATTGGAGATAAGATTCTGGGTTGACGGAGATCGTGGAGGGAGCGTCTAAGTTTATGACATAGTCTGGAGAGAGGCATGAAGTCTGTGTGGGTCATGTGATGTGTGGTGGTGGGTCACATGAGACTGTGGGATGAGTTAGAGGAAAGGCTTTAACTTTCCAGCCTTTCAGCCTGTCTGATGTAGCATTGTGCCAGATTTACCAAGACTTTTAGTTTTAGTTTGAGAAATAGAGAATGAATTATGGTCGGGGCAGACTTGTCGCTATTACGATGATGTGAGTTAAAATATGTTGGGTTGGTAGTTTTTGTATATTTACACAATATTTCAACGATTTCAATGACAAAAAGCAGCAAAGTAAAGATAAGGTGTAACATACGTTTAGACTCACCAAAGATTTGAGCAGCTTGAAATAGGCTAGATTCGTCAACATTCCTGTTAAGAAGGAGGGTTAGAAATCCAAGATATGCAATGTGTAGACAAATGTAACAATTGATGCAAAAAATAAACATCGAGTTTCACAAAAAATATAACATATAGACACGGTCAAGAAGGTATGAACATCCCAATACTAAATATCTCAAGAGTCTGTTACTCCCACACTGAAAAGTGTGCCCTACAAGTCTGCTTAGAATCAAACGACTCGAACTATACCAGGTGGCGAACAATATATCTATATAATGAACAAGACAATAAGGCTGAAAACTTTTACAAGAGAAGAGACAGTACTATCAGTACTATTATAGAACAAGGGGACATGAATGGGGTCTGAGGAGTCACGTGGGGTCTGGGGGTGTCACGTGGGGGGTGTCACGTGGTATCAATTAACGTAGCCGCACTATTAAGCTTTAGAAGTTTTTTTAGTAAAATCGACAATTTTTAAGGTACGCTATAATATCAAGTCTTCAAACGCATTCGTCACGGATGAAGCCAGTATTTGGAATTGGTAGAGCTGAGAATTGACGAGAACCACCTCTCAACAATGTCTTATTTTTCTTCACATCTTTTGATCAACCGGCTTCGACCGATACAATATTCGAGAAAAAACCAAACGATTGGCTTTAACATATTGATATCTATCATTCAAAACGATGCAATTTAACTAAAACATACATAGGAAGCAAGCTAATTTAACTTAAGAACAAAAGCAAACCAGACGATCAATCTCACAAAATACTCCCCAGCAAAACCCGACACACTCTGCAGGAGACATCAGCAAACACCCAACTCCAACACAACTCTCCCTCCCAACTCTCCCTCCTCCCTAACTCGATCCAACCGAAGCTACAATTTGTATATTACTAACAAATTTCACCGTGACATTAAACTAATATATCGTCTAGTCACGGTGTCCATCTCAGACAACGTGATGGTGAATTAAGTTTCAATTAGTATAACAACCTTTTACTCACGCCAACCTCGTCCTGTAACACACATGGGCACAGACAGACGGCTTGATTACTTGTCTCCCGATACGGCTCCTTAAATCACAGATCGCGAGAGAGAGAGAGAGAGAGAGAGAGAGATAGAGAGAGAGAGAGAGAGAGAGAGAGAGAGAGAGAGAGAGAGAGAGAGAGAGAGAGAGAGATATATGTATTGGAGAGCTTATTTTAATTTCGGGGGAGTATTCCCCAGCAGCGCGGGGCTAATTCTGTGATCGGGTGTTTGTAAACGGTGCTGTGTGGAACTAGTTGGTGTTTAATGGAATTAGAGCCAGAATAGTGCAAGTGTACTCAGAGAAGACGGTGATTGTTACAGTCCAGTGTAAAATTACAAGGTCGGCTGAATCAGGATGATACAAGGTGCGCATGTATAACTTGAACAAAGAAGAATTCTAAATTTTCATGAAAGCTGCCTAATTTTTCTCCTTCTAGTCCTGGGCGAGAACAGAGCGCTTTTCAAAGAAATTTCTCCCGCTGCCTCTAAGGTTTCTTCAATGTATATGCTTGGTTCAATGGACCGTAGAAATATGTAACGCTTCCCTTGGATTTTACGGCTCAACAGTTCGCATCTCTCATACCTAATTATGTACTTAACAAGGGTAAACTTCAGAGGGTCTGATGAGAAATAAGGAGCCACTTTCCTAACGTATGGAGGTCGCTAAAAGTCTAGGAATTCCGAATTTCTCGACTATACAGGACAAGCTACTATAAAGAGCTCTTCCGACTTACATAACACAACTATTATGTTCTAATCAATACAATGCGACCCTCTATAGAATTCGATAAAATGATGTCTACAAAGATAGTAAACCCAACAATGCGGAGGTCAAAAAGAGTTATACACGTGGGTCTGTATATTGATAACCGATTACTGATACATGAATCTGTAATGGGAGTACTAAATATCGCTTATTATCTTGTTAATCCACAATAAAGAGCCGCGTAATAATAAGATTCACGGTTTCACGCTCACAAAAGCGGACACCGCAACTGTTGCACAATTCAAGTACATGTGGCGGGAGGAGAAGGGGTAATAGATTATAATCCCCGAGGATCAATCATCAATGGCCCTTTATTTAAGACTGCACTAGCCCAAATACCCTCAAAGAACGGAGTCCGTTTAGATCAAATGAACGTGACAGACACCCCTCTCAACGTATTTAGACACTATTATAAAGTCGATAAACGACCCTACTGGACACGTTTCAGACTAGAGTATAATTCCTACTTGAGTATAACCGTCCACTTCAACACAATTTCATACTTAACAAACCACTGATAAGGCTTCCTAGAACACAATGGTTTTACAATTCAGTTCGCGGCGAGTCCCCCCCATTCATCGTGTGTCCGAGCTGCTCCATTACAATCGCCTAATTTTTACCAGATTCAAATCAGGGGTCTGGGGGTATTTGTGTAACGAGGGTCGTAAATTCCGAGTCTAGATCCATTGGGCGTGTGTCTAATGCCAGCACGTATATATTTATAATTCTGCTAAAAGTAAACCAGAGTGTGCATGTTAGGTCACTGGTAGAAAATAGTGGCTCCCGCGGCCTTTATAAACTGTTAGATCTTTTTCCACCGAGATACGACGACACGTCAATGATAATAAAAACTTACTGGAGGTTTAAAGCAACCATATATAATTATAATCAAGGATGATTTATAGAATTTCAGTCTGGATAGAGAAAATTGGAGGGAGAGCTGGCTCGGGAAGTTGAAATGTTTGAGACGTTCTCCTAAACGGTGATAACGATTACGAAATTAGGGGTCACTAATGGGGCTCGTCTAAATTAGCGGTCACTAATGGGGCTCGTCTATACTGAACTAGAAATCAGAGCAAATAAACTGTGGAATAAAGAATAATTTCTGCAAATCTATTAGATATTGGCCGGTTGTGCTCGTGGGGGTTCCGGTTATAGAAAATAAATATGACTAATTTTTGTTTAGATAATTTATCTTTAAGTTATCTATAATAGCCTGAATCATCAAATCTAAATGTGATGATAAGAAAAGTACATTTGAAATCCTCTTATGCCTATTTATATGGAAGCTTTAACTTTTCACATATGCCAATAAACGTGATCCTCTACGTTTATATTCTTCAGAAATCAGTTTATGGCAAATCAGAGAGTTCCAATAAGAATGTTATACTTATATCTACCATCAGAGTACATTTCAAATTCTTCAGAATTAATAAGGATCGATTCAAAGAGTCTATCGCTCAAATAACTATAGGCGTTATATACCTCATTCAACAAATTAAATGCGGCTTGCAAGATATGTTTAAACCATTAATACGTCGCAAATATTGACGATATATTCCAAAGAGGTTTGCATCTGCGTCAAATTAATAGAAAAGTTCTATCATGATTTGATAGGGCCTCAAGGTCCTTAACCTCAGCTACTCATCAATTTCAGAATCATACGACCCATTCTGCAGCAAGGTCTGATAAATAATGATATCATCCCGTCTGTAAACCTTTTTATGCGCCCTCTCCAAATGCCAACCCTGTAACTTATAAATTGCTTCCATCGTCAGCGAGGACACCAGTCGTCTGAAGATACTGCTTCATGAGCTAAGTTGGTATGGCTACTAGAATTGACTATTTCGTTTGTTGAGGTCAGCGTCGTCGGGAAGCAGTCGAAACTCTGCATTATTATCGAATGACCGTTTGGCCAATGTTTCAGCCATAAATAGCGCAGACACTTTTAGCGTCATCTTTAAACAGTATCAACTAAAACCGTTGTTTCATATAAAGATATAAAGATTTACTAAAGTTCTATCGATCCACATGCTCCAGAATTGTAGAACTTGTTTTACTATTAAAACTGTTAACTGCGTAACTTTTCTCTAGTCACCGATAGGGTGTTCAACGAAGAAGTTTTCGAACCCCAGCATATATTCATATTGGTCAAGGTTAAAACTAGACCAATATATCACATTTAGGTAGGTAACATTTATTGAGGCAAAATCTTGTAATATTGTGCCTCAAGACCACGCGTTCCTGCACTGGAAACGTCAGCAAAAAAACGATTCACAAATTTACATGCACCCGGATTCATCGCAAGAACTTCACTTCTGGACATCGTTTAAATTGTAACAATAAAATAATATCAAGACATTACGCCACACTTTAAAACGAAAGTTTGATATTTCATTGAAATAAATACGAACCCCCCTCCCGCACGTATACGCTATAAGAATAGAATACGACTGATCGCGACAGAATTTTTTCATTGAGTCTGAAAACAATGGTCCAATAATGAGAGAATGGATTAATAACTTACTGATTGCAGACATGAGACAATGGTGGAATTCATGCGTTACGAAACAAAAGCTGGCGACTACAAGATTGTTTGCTAAAAAATAAGGTTATCCGGGCAGACTTAGGTAATAAAATGATTAAAGCAAAATTGATAATGCTTATATTTAGCGAGAAAAATTGTCGTGGCGGTTCTGTTTAAGTCGACCGACAGATACCACATGCAATCAATGTTTAAAAGATTTAGAACCGGGCACCGTCGGGCGTAGCATGCATGCAATATACCAAATAAGACTGGCTACGACTACGAGAAACTGTAAAAACCACACCAATATGTCGGACATAAAATCAACGTTTGGAGAGAGGGGGCGGCAGTATGATCGTGACAAGAGTGAAACTCTACACAGAGTGAAACTCTACACAGAGTGAAACTCTACACAGAGTGAAACTCTACATAGAGCTCCCCGCGAAGTGAGTGAAGCCTGAGCAACATATATTAGGCTGAGAGATCGAGCAGGGAACTGATCAGAGAGCAGGGAAGATATTGTCCTATTGGTGGAGAGTCAGCTTTAAGGGGAGAGTCAGCTCTAATCTCGACTGGGGGAGACAGGGCACAACAAAAGGACTTCATCTCATGACAATTCGTGTTGTTTACGGTCTGCGCCCACCGTCTCTTCAGTAATTGCTTCCAGAGGATCCACCGCGGGGGTAGCTGAAATCAAAAATCAGTCCCGGAGTCATGAGCCGGGGATAAGGGGTGAAGGGGGTGATCAAGCTATGTGACTTGTCATGACGTCTGAGATGACCAATCTGTACGCTCCTGATTACCTATTCGCCTTATCATGTGGCCACATAAGCAGATCACATGATACTCCTTTGACTATCTCCCCTCAGACAAAACTGGGGGACGGCTAGACACTAGGAAGTCTCTCTGCAGATTTTCAACCCCTGGGCCCTATATCTCCCAAGTACGAAGTAAGATTGTCTCGCTCGATCACTTCTTTGATAGGGTGTAGTGCTGGTACTGACCTTGTCTGACCTACTGATACAAATCACCGTGATTGTTGCCTCATTAGGGTAACTTTAGCCAAATCACCAGCTCCCATTTCGGGCTAAGTTCCGACTAATTAATTGATTGGGTTTAAATTGGAAGATGGTCTGTGTATATCAGGTCCCGGAGACAGGGGGCTGCACGTAAAACATGAATATTATACGGGTGACATATCCAGCCGGAAGCAGCGACAAGTCTGTCTGCCTCTGAAAGACAACCCTTAAGACTGAGACTCAGAGGGAGGCCCTGAAAATACGACAAATACGTGTACTGCACTCAAACAGGACGGATATATCGTAATCAGAGGAGTTGCCCTACAACTGCTCAAATGTGCACTTGAGGTCACGTGGGAACCACAACATACTCTCAAAGGGAAAGTTCAACATCAAAGGGACTTGAACAAGGTATTCTCTCTTTAATAATGCATCAGCAGCAAATCGTCATCATCATGTGCCTCACTCCCGAATACGCGACTATTTCACACACTTACACACAAACAACTTCTCTTAGATCTATACTGTTACGGAAGCGTGAGTCTAGACGGGGTCTGCCGGGAGTGTGTCTACTGTAGCCCCGT